AAGGGTAAGCTTTTCCCATGCCTATGCTTTACCTGCAGGGCTCTGCCCCATGGCCAGTCTTCTCTGCCAGCTGGGTCCTAAAGGCCACTTCACTAGCTGGGAAATATCAGGCATGTGAGTGTGAGAAAGCGGTTCCCTGAATATCTCAGGGCCTTAATGGCAGGGGAAGGTGACCACACCCCTTTGACACAGATCCCACCCTTGGGCCAGGGGTGAGAAGGGGTGCAGACGGCTGTCACTGGGGATTGTAACTGACCCATTGGTGGAAGTCTGGCAATGCCTGCTGTCTGTCTGTCCCCGGATAGTAGTTGGATCTCTGGTGCTCTCATTTGTGGATATAACTGCCCAGTCAGTGGAGCACTAGTGTTACCCAGGGATTGGCACTCCCACTTGGTAGACTTAGAGGCAGGCAGGCAAGGGAGGGGGAGTAGCTCGAGAGAACTGAGGGCTGAAGGTACCGGTGTCTCCTTCCACCCTGGGGAGGGGGAACCTGCTGGGACTAAGTTCGTCTAGGATTTTGTCTGGTGACCTCACAGGCTGGGGATAGGTGTATGGTGAGGAACTCATTGCAGCAGCCTCCAGCCCATAACTGCCTCTTTGCACCCTGTCTCCCAATGCACCATCTCCAGGGCTGGATTGCGACATAGACATCCAGAAGACCATCCAGATGGTAAGGGCTCAGCGCTCAGGAATGGTGCAGACTGAGGCCCAGTATAAATTCATCTACATGGCCATCTGCCAGTTCATAGAGACCACCAAGAAGAAGCTGGATGTTATGCAGGTGAGAGTGGGGACGCCACGCACTCAGTCCCAGGAGATGCTGTGCTGCCAGAGGTGCTGTCTGTAATAGCCTGATCATACCCCATTTCCTCATGTCCTAGCTTGGCATAAGGGGCCAGGAGGCAGCTGCCCTTTGTCCCCTGCCGTGCCCCATTACCCCACACCCCAGTGCTGTGCTCTGTCCCGTTCTCCAGTCCTCTCTTGTCTTGTTTTCTCATGCAGTCTCAGAAGGGGAGATCCAAAGAGTCTGAATATGGGAACATTGCGTACCCACCTGCGCTGAAGAACCAACATGCCAAGGCCTCCCGAAAGTCCTCTAAGTAAGAGCTGTGGCAAATCAGGAGTCCCCACCCTCCTGGGCGTTAGCTGTGCCCTTCCCTACTGCCCCCACCATCACCCGACCTCCCCACCATTCTGTCGCTGCCCTCCTGGCTCTCCATGCCCAGCTCACCTCTCCAACATTCTCACTGTCTCACAGGCAGAAGGAGGAACCAACAGTCTATGAAAACTTAGAGAACACCAGAGGAAAGAAAGAGGAGAGAGTGCGGAAGCAGCGCTCGTCTGAGAAGGAGAAACTGAAGGGCTCGCTTAAGAAAAAATAATCTCCCACTACAGGTGCGACTGGGGTCTGGGCTGGGATCATATTCCTGGCGAGTGGGGGGTCGTTCTTTTCTCTAGGTGCCCCAATAAGATCTTCATGTGCAGACCCATCTGACTCTATGGCCTTCTTTATGCGCGTGTTTTGCCAGGGTAGCTGTACTGGCAGAGCCCCCTAATTGACACAGCGTAGAAGGAGTGTTTCTGTCAGGGAGTAGCACCATGCCACTGAAGGACATTTGTTGTGTCAACAAAAACCCTCTTTTGTCAGCATCTCACATCTAGGTGGGGGTTTTGCCATACCCCCGGACCAACACAGGTATGCCGACAACTTTGTAGTGTAGACCTGCGCTCTGGCAGTACTTTTCATCTGCTGTTTTCTCTCTCTTTCCAGCTCCCCTCAGTTACAGAAGACACCTTGTCCTAGGTCAAAGTGACTGGGATCGCCTTGCTGTCCCTGCACACTCAGTCCAGTAGGCACGTCCGATCTGTTCTGCTTTCCAGCCTGCTGCTTTAAGATACTTTTTAACTGTCAGATAAATAATATCCTCTTTAATTTTCTCTGGCCCCTAACGGTTCAGGCTCATCTCCAGCTCTGTTTGTCCTTCGCAAGCTCCTCTTATGGGAAACAGGCCCCCACAGGGGTTAACCTCAATACCAGCATAAGACTAGCTGCTCCTGCTAAGTCAGCTGTTGTTTGATGCTGGCCCTTTAAACACCTGCTGCTTAACCCCTTTCAACTCTCCCTTGATCAAAGGGAAAATTATCTCCATGCCCACTGCCTGTGCCACCATCTCCTCAGCCTTGCGGGTCCACTCGCTTCCTTGTGGTGCTGTAAATATTCATGGATTTGACATGTTGGTTTTGCTTTCCTTTGTAATTAAACCAGGATTTTTGTCTTATTCTTTTATTCTCTCGTGTTTTCAAAGTTTTCAGCAAAAATTGGGTTTTGTTTTTTAAAATACTATTTTTATTTGTTTTTGAGCTGCAGACTTAGCGCAGGGAGTGGAACAGTTGGTTTCCTTGCTTCTGCCTGGGCCTAGTGCATGAACCTGTTAGCAGGTTCTTTTCATATGCCCAAGTGTCATTGCCTTAGGGAGAATTGCCAGTGTGCCAGTACCCTGTCACACCAGGTAGTCCATTGACCTGGGAATGGATTGGAACCAATGCTTGAGTGGTGAAAGGAGCCCATATGGTATTCCAAACCCACCCTGAGCCAGCCAGTGCCTCTTAGCTGGCCCACCTAAGATCCGGTGCCCTAGAGGTAAAAGGCTCTCTATCCCATTCCCTGTCTCTGTCTGAAGCAGACAGTTCTGTGAGTTGGGATATGGTCAATAACTGTGGATTTTACCCTATGTAGTCAGTGGCTGAGGTCCTAACTGCTCAAAAACATGCTGTTATTCATTCAGAATAACTTCCTTTTTCATCTGAGTTTCTGAAATTAGCTTATTAAGCCTGGTACTCACACTGGTGGTTGGGTAGGGCTTGTATAGGGTTGGTTTGCCAAGCACTGAAATGCAGCCACCTCTTGGTTCAGAGACAGTAGCTGTTCAGCAGCTGCACAGTAACACTGTCACTTCTTGTCCTAAATGATTGTTTAAAGAATTCCATCTCCAATTGTAGCTGCAAACTGGAATGTGCTATGGGCCCTGATTCACAGCCCAACTCTTGGGGGAAAAGAGCAGGGTCTGCTCAATAACACAAGGTTAGGGCCTTGTTGTACAGTCTCCGCTGATCAGAGCGGGCTGCAGCGCCAGGCTTCCCAAGTGTGTTTTCATTTGTGAGCTAGATGAAAAGCTATTTAAAAAACCAAATGAGTGGGTTTGTTAACCTGGCCCTGGTGAGGCACAGAAGGGGCTGGTTGACAAAAGTGAATGACGGTGTCAGGTGCTTGGACCTTCAGTGGGGAGGACACTGTATGAAAATGAACAGAATGGGGAAAAAGGAAAAGCAAAACTCAAAAGGCTGCGTCTGTTTCTCTCAGCACTTTGTCCTGAACACACCTGTCTCAGGGTCTACACTACAATATTAAGTCAACTAAAGTTAAGTTGATGTAAATAAAGCGGTGCTCCATGTCCATGCTTGCATCTTCTCCTGGCAGTATGCGTCCTCACCAGGAGCATTGAATTGGGGGCCTTGTGGGACAGCTAGAGCCTGGCAGCCCTGGGACTGGCAGCCTCTGCTGTAGGCAGGGGGCTCATATCTGGCCCCTGCCCAGCTGTTAGGTAGGTGCTGGCTCACAGCTGGGCCCCCCCACACACACACTCCCCAACAGCCTGAGCTGTCAGCTGGGGGCTGAGTTCACAGCTGTGATTCCCTGCAGGGCTGTTTCACAGTAGGGAATCTACCAGCAGCGAAATCCATATTCTTGACAATTTCATGGCTGCTGTAATTTCACATTTCAGCTCCTGCTCTGGCTGTCTGCCCATGGGGATGGAGGGGTGTTCACAGCTGGAGTCCTCTCCCCTGCTGCTGATAGCCCAAGCTTTGAGCCCCATGTGGGGATCACAACTGGAGCCCCTGTGGTTTGAGAGGAGCAGAGGGACCAAGGGGGCTCTCACCATCCTAAATCCAGTTTGTAGCTGAGCAAGAAAGGCAGGGATACAGCTGTTTATACAGCCTCCCAAGCAGCATGCTCTGCAGGAAGTGCTCATAGCAGCAGTCTTGCTCTTGTGGGTCTTTTTCATCCTCTTGGCTCATGCAGCTCAAAAGGCAGCAGAACTGGCTCTGTACAAGCCAAATAATGGAGAACACATGTATAGATGAAGTAGGTGTGAAATTGAGATAGAGGGTGCTGAGGAAGGGAGATGACAAACCATGTAGGTCTTGCTGTGAGCTCAGCTCCAGCGTGTATCAGGCTGGGATCCAAGAGTGACCCTGCCCAAGTGTGCTGGCAGGAGGGCTTCATGCACCAGCTCCAACACTCCCCCCAAACTCAATGAGGGTTTCACACCCTATCCCCCTACCATCTTGGTTCTGGTCACTGCCATACCCAAGCCCCTCTTCTAAACCAAAAACAACACAGAACTCATTCTCCACTACTAAACACATCTGGGACAAAAGTTTTTGTTCTTTTTTTACTTTTACAAACTTTTGAAAGAATCACTGAGCAGATAAAATTATGTGGTCTGAGAGCCCAAAAATGGCAGGAGCCCCATGAAACCTTCATTCAGGAGTTTTCCCATGGGGAAGGGAGGGCTGGAAGAGAAATTAACAAGAAATTCATTGAAGTGAAAGCTAGGTGCTGGTACCAAAGCAAAGGCCTCACAGGCTTGGCAGACATAGCAGTTACGATTCTAGTCCTATTAAAATCCAAGCACTAGTAGAGGCTGGGTGTGAATAACAGGTCCTCAAGGGCTCATACTGCCCACCCCTGCCTGAGTTTAAAACCACTAAAATGGGATTTAATAGCACCCAAATGAAGCAGGAATTAAACTAGCCAACTGGTGAAGCCCAAAGGCATATATGGCTCCCAACACTGGGGATTGGGTACCAGCTTGGCCATTGCATTAGGAATTTCAAAGTAAGTGAGAGAGAACAATCAGTGAAAATTAACAGGCACCAGCAGGGGGCCCAGGCAGAGCGGGAATCTTGGGTGAGGGAAGATCGTCAAGGTCACTCACACATCTTGCTCTGTCAGTTGGTGTGAATGGTTCTAGCAGTTTCATTTCTTCCCCGGTTTGGTCAGGAGGCTGTCACTGTGGGGATAGAGGAATGAGACATTACAGTCTGGGAGGCACACATGCAGGGGCTAGAGTTTAACAGTTGATCCAGCCTGACATTTGGAGAAGAGTTGGCCTCCAGCTCTGGCTTCACTAGCATGTCTCTCAAAGCTCCATGAGCCCCCTGGGAGAGGTAAAAATTCAACCCATTTTGCAGTGGCAAAAATAAAGGCAGAGGGAAGAAATGACTCAAGATCACACAACTAGACAAGGTCACAGCTGAAACAGAACCAAGGAGTCCTGACTACCAGGCCACCTGCTTTAACCCATTAACTTAGCCACTGAAGACTGGCTGGCCTTCACCTGTGTCACATGTGGGATTCAGCTGGGGGACAGACTCTGGGCCCAGGGACAGGAGATCACCCTAAACACCATAAGTCTTTGAGAGCATGGAAGGAGTTCCAACCTGCTTGGAGAAAGCCTATGGAGAAAGGGATCCTGTACAGAGAAATACACTCCTCTCCTCCCCCACCAAAAACCACAGCAGCCAAATTCCCATACCAACTGCCTCCTTCCATGATCCCACCCCTCCTCAGTGTAGGCTCTCCACACCACCTGTGCGTCTCCTCCACTTTCAGGAACCCACCCTGATCCCATCTTGGCCTGCACTGACCATGCTGCTAAAAACACTGATTCACCACCCATCTGGCCTCCAACCTCTCTCATCCATCCATGGCATTATCTCATTCCCATTATCCCAATATTGGAGCACCTCACAGTGAGATGCATTTGTCCTCACCGCACTCCTGAGAGCTACGGCAGTGCTATAAGCCCCATTTTACAGCTGGGGAGCAGACAGAAACCAAGACTTACATCCTCATAGGCCTTTAAGCACCAAACTCCCACTGACTTGCCCAAGGGCACACAGGAAATCTGTGGCAGGGCAGAGAATTCAACCCAAGTCTCAGGCTAGTGCTCAAACCACTGGACCATCCTCTTCCATATGGCACACTTCCCTGGCTGCCTGAAACTCTGGGATACCCAGCAGCCCTGCCTCCCATGTGATGGAAAAGGGCTCACACAAAGTGACCTGTGCCTTACCTTCCTCTGCATATCAGGAGAGGCAGCCACAAAAGAGAAAAGAGAAAAACAATTAGATTTAACTTGATTTGAATCCCAAGCTTTAGAAATATAACCAAGGCCCTCCCATGCTATCCACTCACCCCACTCAAGAGAAATGTGATTCAGAGGGACAGAGCTCCAGAGGGGTAACTCTGGGGCTCAGAACACCTTTAACATTCACATAGAGAGGGAGTGAGTTTGAGGGAGGAATCCATCTTCTGGAGCTATTTGGAGCCTCTATGACACTCCCCCCCGCCCCCCCTTTACCTGGTGAAGCCCTCATCCTGTAGGTTCAACTGTAAGTTATCAGCTGTGAGATACACACGGTTCTGCGACGCCGCAATCTGGAAGAGAGACCAAGTGAGGGCAGGGTGGCTGGCGTGGGAGCGAGTTCACAAAGGGGTGGAGTGAATGAGACCCCTCCACTCAACTGCCCCCTTGCACACACATTTTTGGGTGGGACAGACTCTGTGCTTTTGAGTGTAGCCTAAGTCCTTGGAAGTGGTCTCGGGTTATTACATGGGTGAGTTGCGAGCAGTCAGCCTCCACCCCAAACCCCACTTTGCCTCCGACATTTATAATGGTGTTAAATATGTAAAGAAGTGTTTTTAATTTAAAAGGGGGGCGGGGGTCGCACACAGAGGTTTGCTATGTAAAAGGGGTCACCAGTTCAAAAGTTTGAGAACCACTGTGTTAAGGGGCTTCCAAGAGAGGCTGGGGAATCCCCATCAGGTTAGCAAACACCTATCAGGGATGCTCTAGGTTTACTTGGCCCTGCCTGAGTACAGGGGTCTGAACTAGATGACCTCTCGAGGTCCCTTCCAGCCCTACATTTCTACACCTGCTAATTGAGGCAGCACCAGTTAAACTTTAAACTCAGTTTAAACACAGATTTAGTTAAAACTGGTACAAAGTCATGTGTGGACATTTCTTAGCCTGATTTATGTTGATTTACCATAAATCAACACAGAACTGGGTTCAGTGAACCAATATAAGCCAGGCTTACAACCAAATTACGAGTGTCTACATGGAGTTCTGTATTGGTATAATAGCATATCTTGTTCACGTAGTACAAGTATGAATAAGGACAAAGCTATGTCCCGCATCCAGTGCCATCAGATTTTGAGAACTAGTGCTCATTTCAACTTCCCATCACATTGACCTTTGACCCCCAAGCAGGCATGTGCCCCCTTTCCCAAACCACAGGGTACTGGGGCCTCTGGGTGGCTGTGGCTGGGTATGGGGTGCTGAAGTTTGATATAGATCTGCCTTTACGGTTGGGGGGTAGGAGCTTCCCCCCACACCAAGCTCACAGATCAGTACAGACAACCCCCACCCTGACCAGAATGGTGGGGGTGCAAAGGGGCAAGGTCAGGAGGAAGCAGGTCATATTCGCCTTAGACTCATCACATGGCCTCTGGGATGGGTGGGGGGAGTGCAAACAAGTTAGTGAAGGGGAATGAGACAACCCTAGGCCCCCAACTCACTGTCTTGGAGATGTTTTGGGCAGCTCGGATCTTGCGCAGCTTGATATAGCCTGGGTTCTTGCTCAAGGCTTCACCAATGTGAGGATGACAGTAAGTTAAGGGGGGAATCTGCTAACAGACGCCCACCCAACTTTCCCCTCCTGAGTGTCACCAGATTCTCTGAAACAATACTCATTGAATCACCTTGACCTTTGACCTCATGGGACAGCACAAGCCTCCACAAGGCAAAGCCATAGCTGGAAGTTTGATGTAGATTAAGTAAGTGTCAGTTGGGAATGGAGGCTCCAGCCTATCACCAAGATCACAGGCCAATGCAGACAGCCCCCATGCTCTGCCCAGGGAAGGGGGACAAATGATAGAAGGCAAGTCACATCTGCCTTCAATCCATCACCTGTCAGTATGTGTATCGTGGGCTGAGACAGACTCCCAGAATCCCTGTGCTCCAGCCCGCCTCCCCAATCACACCCACATGGCATGAAAAGGATATCATCTTGGCAGCTGTGGCTTCCCCCTCTGCCTGGACAATCTTCTGCTTCTGTTCCTGCTTGGCCTTCTCCACCAGGAACTGGGCTCGCTGGGCCTCTTGCTGGGCTAGGGAGGGGAAAAGGCCAAAACCAGAGACATTAGAACCAGGTTCCGTCCTTCCAAATCCCATGGCAGGATCCTTCCTACAGTCTATTCCCTGGGGCTCGTACTTCTCACAGCCTGCAGTTATGGTATCACCATAACTGCCCTTGCCCAGCTAGTCATTTACTTAGATTGTCCATTTTTTTGACACAATTTATGTGTTGGCAGTACCTAGCACAGGGAGGCTGGGGCCCTTAGGCACAACCACAATACAGCTACAAACACTCATAGTCACGAACTGAGCGTATCTCCCTGAAGCAATAGGAACTGAAGCCTGCTGCAGGAATGGAGAATCTTCTAGTCCAGCTTCCATGACCAAGCACTTTCAAATGCTGCCTGTCAAATACACAGGTTCTGGATGCTGGCCGAAGGAGCCAGACTTTTGCAAGACCTGACTGTGATTACATCCATGTGACGTTAGTGCCATTTTAGACAAAACTTTCGGCACTGAATTTCCTTATACAAAAAGGAAAGGAATGGAACTACCTGTGGCTAACTGTCGCAGTAGGATTCCAGAGTTCACCTGTCACAGAGGCAGATGGGCTGAGGATTCTAAAACAGAAGGGCCGCTCCTGCAGCACTCATCCCCTAACACTGTGCTGAGGCTTGAGAACAGCACCAACTCACCCACTTGCTTAGCCTCAACAGCCGCTGTGTACTCGCGGCTGAAACTTAGCTCGGTGATGGCCACATCATCCAAGATGAGGCTGAAATCCTTGGCTCGCTCTGTCAGTTCCCGTCGGATTAGCAGAGAGACCTGAAATGAAAGAGTGGGTAGGAGGGGCAGAAGGATTGTAACCCACAGATCTCTTCCCAGGTTTCAGAGGAACAGCCGTGTTAGTCTGTATTCGCAAAAAGAAAAGGAGTACTTGTGGCACCTTAGAGACTAACCAATTTATTTGAGCATGAGCTTTCGTGAGCTACAGCTCACTTCAACATCTGATGAAGTGAGCTGTAGCTCACGAAAGCTCATGCTCAAATAAATTGGTTAGTCTCTAAGGTGCCACAGGATCTCTTCCCAGTTACCATTCCCTCCAGAGCATCATTGCCCCCCTCCCCTTCAATCCACTTCCCAGGGCCCCTATTTCCCAGTATCCTGAGCGATAAGGAGAGGATTCTTGAGCAGAACAGGACCCTTGCATAGGAACCTAAGAATTGCCAGACCAAGACCCACGGTCCATCTAGCCCAGTACCCTGTCTCTGACAGTGGCCAGGGCCAGCTGCTTCAGGGAAAAGTATAAGAAACCCTGCAGCCAGCAGATGTGGGAAAATGTGACCATATTAGGTTTCAGCCTGGTCTCTAATAGTCAGAGATCGGCTTAAACTCTGAAGCATTAACTAACTCTGGATAGTCCTGATACCTAGATGAATATCCACTCTCTTTCAATCCTGCTAAGTTCTTGGCCTCAGTGACATTCTGTGGCAATGATTTCCTCAGTTTAGTCACTTTCAATGTCATTGACAGTCCTCGTGTTCTTGTGTTCTGAGACAGGGAGAAAAGAAGTTCCTGATCTCCCTTCTCTACAGGGGTCATTATTGTGTAGACTTATGTCCCCTCTTATGTCTCCTTTCTAATGAAACAATCCCAATCTGTCTAGTCTCTTCGTTTTTCCAGGCCCTTGATCATTCTCATCACTCTTCTCTGAACCCACTCCAGTCCCGCAATATCCACTGGAGATGGAGTGACCAATACAGCACACAGTATCCAGAGAAGGCTGCACCAGTAATTTATATAAAGGCATTATAATATTCCCTGTATTATTCACAATCCCATTCCATATGCCTCCTCATATTTTGTTTTCCTTTTTTAACCACAGAGACTGTCACTGAGCTGTCTGTGTTGCCCAGGTCTCTCTCCTGAGCTGATACAGTTAATTTTGAATCCTGTATGGCGCAGAGGTTCAGCTTTTTCCCTCCCTCATGCATTACTTTGCATTCATTGACACTGGATTTCATTTGCCATCATGTGACCCATTCCCTTAGCATGTTTGGGTATCTCTGAAGTTCTTCCCAGTCGCCTCTGGTCCAGACTAACCCAAATAATTCTTATCTGCAGATTTTGTTTCCTCACTGCTCACCCAGGTCCCTTACAGATCATGAACACATATTAAACAGCATGGGATCTAGTACAGTCCCTTGAATTCCCAGCTGTTAACCTCTAATCAGGATGCAAACTAACCATTTATTCCTACTCTTTACTTTCTGTCTTGTAACCAATTTTTGATCTATAGCTATATGTTGTCTCTCACCCCCACAGTGACTGAGCTTCTTTAGTAGGCTCTTGTGTAGGACCTAGTCAAAGGCTTTTTGGAAGTCTAAAGAAATGTCAACCCTTTCCTTCTTTATCCACTATTTCTCTTACACATGCAAGTAATTCTGAGATGTATGAGACATGATTTTCCTTTGCAGAATCTGCGCAAGTTAGACATTATCAGATCATGAAATTCTAGGTGTTTTGTTGTTTATAATCATTTCAACCTGTGTGCCAGGCACAGATATACGGCTAACTGCATAGTAATTCCTCAGATCACTCCTAGAGCCTTTTTAAAATATAAGTACACCATTTTCTATCCTTCAGTTCTCTGGAGCAGAGGCTGGTAATGAGAGTGTGACTATTTTGTTAGCAGCTGCGCCACTTCATCCTGAAATTCCTTCTGTAACCAGCTGGGCCTGGTGATTTTGCCTTTTAAATTATCAATTTGGAACAGACCTTATCTTCACTACCAGGAAAGAACAGATTATGGTAGGAATCCCTTCAACATTCTTAGTGCTGAAGACTGATGCAAAGAAAACATGCAACTTCTCAACCAAATCCTTAATTGTACCTCTGATAATTCAGGGGACTCACCAATTCTCTCAGACTTCTTGCTTCTGATATGTTGAAAGAATCTCATTTGTTTTATTTCTTTCGCTATTTGCCCTTCAAACTCTATCTTGGCCCTTCTAATTTCCCTCCTATACATTGTCTCCTATAATTTATGCTCCTGTTTATTGGCTTCATAAGTCCCACCTTTTGAAAGATTGCTGTTTGGCTTGAATAGCATATTGAATCTTATTCAGTTATATTGGTTCACTCCTTGGCTCTCTGGATCCCTTTTAGTTCAACGCACCCATGTTGCTTCAATTATTGTTTTTATAAGTAGCATCAATTCTACATCTTTGGATTTTACCTCTTCCTTTTATCGTTTAACTTCTAAAAGGGTCTTTTGACTAACCTACTCATTTTATTGAAATCTCCCTTTCTAAAGTTTAGTCATTTTTTGATACCCTAATTGCCCCATGGATGTTGAGCCTTATTATACTGTAGTCACTATTCCTTAGTGGCTCTGCTACTGTCACTTCTTGACTTAACTATCAGTTTCTTAAGACTAAAATGAAAGTGTTCTTTTTTCTCTTGTGCTGTCTAGAACTTGCTTCTTGGAACAGCTCTCTCTTAAAATGTCAATCAATTGCTTCTCTAAACTTGGTTGTGCTGTTGGACTAGGCTGTGTGTGGGCAGTTGAAATCCCCCATTATCTTCATTAAGTTTTCCTGCCTCTGATGTCTCTCCACATTGTGCACTCAATTTCCTCTTTTTGATCTGGAGGCCGGTAACACATTCTTACATCTTGGGATTTGTACCCCTGGAGATTCAATGGTGTGATCCTGGCCAATGAGAATTTTTATCCCGCTGGATTCTATAGAATCTTGTAGATACAGCAGTGCTCTGCCATCTCTTCAGTCCAGTCTGTCTGACTTGTATAGATTGACCTTACGGTTCCTTCCTTAGGAGTCTACACTTGGCCTCCAGAATCCCTTTTCTACATTTTCCTGTGTGTCTGGTCCCAACATGTACCAGGACCACAGGCTTCTCCTCACTAACCAGAAGCCAGTTGAGGAGTCTCGTGGTATCTGCCATCATTGAACCTGGCAGGAAAGTGACTCTGACACTGGTGTCAGAGGGCTAATCCTTCCACACTAGCCTCTGTCCCTTGTCCATTCTGTGCATCAGGGTTGGGGGTAGAGGGGGAAGGAGAAGAGAAGAGATCACTCAGACAGGCACCTCTGATAATAAACAGACCTGAGCTCGTTGAGTGATGAGTTGTGAAGCATTGAACTTGGCCACAACACTTTTGAGCACCTCGTTGACGATGGAAGGAAGGACCCGCTCCTCATAGTCCAGACCCAGACGCTGGTACATTTTGGGCAGCTCTGCAGCATTGGGGCGTGAAAGGACACGCAGAGAGATGTTCACCATCTGCAGATCTAAGAGACGGAATCAGATTGACTACATCCCCAAAGCCTAGCCTGGCTCCCACCAGCTTCGCCAGTACCCCTAAATCTGCAGGCCCTACACCACTACTCCAGTCCTAGGCTCCCCTCTTTCTGCTAAAGTCTTACTCCTGGCTTGCAGCTCCAACTCCACTATTCAACTCCTCTGCTTAAGCGCCACATGCCCCCTAGTATTCTAGCACTGGGCTAATACAGAAACCATGGACAAAGAACTTTGTTCCTTCCTCTGTCCTGGTCAAACAGATGGTCTCACCTTTGGAGCCTGTTGGGGAGGAGATTTTTCGGGGTCGAGCTCGGATATCATAAATTATTGGATACTGAAACCAGGGGATTCTGAAAAGCCAAGGAGAAAAATCATGTTATACAAACAACAGAGGTGTCACAAATGAGGGAAAGGAGATTGGGATGGAGAGTGTATGTGTGTGCAATGGGAGGGAGGGGAAACAGTGAATCCAAGGACTTAGTAATACTGGAGAAGGATGAAACCATATTTAGGGCACTAGCTTAGGACCTGGAAGACCACAAACCCCTTCTCTACCACAGCCTTCCTGCATGACTTTGGCCTTCCCTCAGTTCCCAGACTATAAAGCAGGGATAATAGCATCACCCTGCCTCACAGGGCCATGGTGAGGATAAATACATCTAAGATTGTGATATGAGGAGCTTAAGTTCTACAGTAATGGGGGCTACACCCCCAGAAGTACCACAGGTAGATCAGTACTAATGGAGCAGTTGAGCTATAACCTCAGCTGTTTCCTACTAAAAACTTTAACTTTTTCCTGTTTTGATGATGACATTAAATTTCTAACAAGTGGATTTTTTGTAGTCTCTCCCTATTTTTTAAATCCAGAAAGTGGGTGTGTCACACTTGATACAGTTATTTAGAGGATCCCAATTTAGCTGTGATGTTGCCACCTCATTGCTACAAGTTCCCAACCTTGCTGCTGTCATGTGGCTGAAGATGGTACTCAGCAAAGTTATGTCGCCAGCACAGGTCCTTTCAGAGGTACAGCAAGATCTTTAGAATAGTTAGTAGATTTTAAGTTAAGATTTAGGAACTACAGGAATGTTTATGATCCTGAGATTAAGGCTACTTTTTCAAAAAGGAATTCACTGGGGGTAGCAGTTAAAGTCTTGGTGTGATACCTGCAGGTGATCACAATCAAGAGAAAGTTGGTTCAAAGGTAATCTAGCGATGTGGATGAAACTCCAGGAGCACCCCTCAAGCACCTCTGACCCTTACCTGAAGTGCAACCCCTCGGCCAGGATCGTGTCTGGCTGGATCCCACCAATGCGGTTGAAGAATATTGCCCTCTGGCCTCCTTCCACTGTGGGGAGAGCGGGCAGCAGTCAGGCAGGGCCGGGAGGGGGGAGTAGAGCGGGGAGAAGAGAGTGGAGCGCGGGTCAGGCCAGGCCGAGCGGGTGCGGGGTGGAGCACGGGTTGGGCCGGAGAGGGCGGGGGGGTGGAGCATGGGTCCAGTCGGACTCACCGGTGAAGACCGACTCGCGGACCCCGTAGGCGACGGCACCGGCTCCCAGCAGCAGCTTGAGGGCGGTGCCCATCCCGCGCGGCCCGGCGGGGAGACGTCCCGCCAAGTCCTTCAGGTTCTGGGCCATGGGGAGTTCGGTCGGGCGCTGTGGGACGGACAGACAAATAGGCAGCCACGTAAGTCAGTCAGACACAGTCTCGCTCCCCCCCGTCCCGTCCCGTCTCTTCCGTGGACCCTGACGCGGACTCCCCTACGGCTGGGAGTTCAGCCCGCGCCCCCTAAACCAGTCCTCACCTGCCCCCACGTTGCCGCTACAGGAGGAGGGAGAAAGGGCACCGGAAGTGTTCTGTTCTAACCCCTCCGGCAGGAACCGGTAACCGGAAGCGGCTCACCCCTTTTCCAACATGGCGCCCTGAGCTTAAAAAACCAATCGGGCAGATGCCGTGCCCGCTTCAAAAATGGCAGACGGAACCCAGCCTCGCTGCGGTGAAGAAGTTACTTTACACCACGGCTTCATAATTTCGATCATCGGGCACCACTTTGGATAATGGCAACATCCCAGTAACGGGCCAGTCTGCCGGGAAGCGAGCTACAGGGAGGGTAAATATCCGGACACAGGGCACGTGACGTCGATGTTTCCGTTCTCTTACCGGAAGCAGCCTCTCGCACACCGGAAGTGCTGGGAATATTGGCCAATTTCTAGGCTCCGTCTCCGCCGCAGCTGGGGGAAGTGCGAGGTCCCAGCTTAGAAGAGTACGAGCTGCAGGTGTGACGCCGCTTCCGGTTCTAAGATGGCGGTGCCCAAGCGGCAGCTCCGAAGACCAGTAGGGGACGCGGCGGCAGAGACTGACCCGGCCCGGGAGGCGAAGCAGGCCTGGGGGCAGCGGCGGCGGCTTCTAGTGCTTCTCGAGGGAGCGAGTCTGGAGACCGTGAAGGTGCTGGGGAACACGACTGGGCTGGGCCCGGCGGGACTCGCCGTGACCCACCTTGTCCTCACTCTCTTCTCGCCCCTTTGGCTGCAGGTTGGGAAGACGTACGAGCTGCTGAACTGCGACAAGCACAAATCGCTGCTGCTGCGAAGCGGCCGGGACCCAGGGGAAGTGAGGCCCGACATCACACACCAGGTACGACCCCCCTTGTGTAGGTCCTAGGAAGGGCCAGGTCGTTATGCCAGGCACTAGCCCCTGCAGAAGGCACTTATGCAAAAGCCACCCAAAAGGGAACGTTTTCTCTGGTCTCCCCATAACGAGAGGTCAGCTTGTTCTTTGAAGCAGGATTGGCCCTTCCAAATATTTTTCTTTTAAGTTTATTAATCACATTACCCACGTAAACAGCCATCTTTTAAAATTCTGCTGCAGCAGAGCTAGTGCACCTTTTTGGATCTTTTCTTACCACTTCTTCAGCAGAATAGTCCCTTCCTGCTCACTGTGCCCAGACCCTGATGTCTGAGAGTTGAGTCTTCTTTTTAGCATCAAATTCTCTGGTGTCATGTGCTTTCCCCATTATGTGCTTTCTTTCTTAAGAGCCTCCTGATGCTCATGGACAGTCCCCTGAACCGGGCTGGCCTGCTGCAGGTTTACATCCACACCCAGAAGAATGTTCTCATTGAAGTCAATCCCCAGACCAGGATTCCCAGAACCTTTGATCGATTCTGCGGTCTAATGGGTAAGAGGTTGCTTCTTCATCCCCTTGTGGCTCCCTACTTATGACACTTTGACCTGCTAGCCTGTCTGTTTCTTTATTTGCTTTCCCCTCCTCCACTTGCTTGAGCCCTGGGTTCAGTAGCTTCTCCCCTTAAGCTGGGGGAGGGGCCTTCAGATATGAGTGAGCACAGGATAGAAAAAAGAATGAGTACTTGTGGCACTTTAGAGACTAACAAATTCATTTGAGCATAAGCTTTTGTGCGCTAAAACCCACTTCATCGGATGCATGCAGTGGAAAATACAGTAGGAATATATACACACACACAGACACACAACATGAAAAAATGGGTGTTGCCATACCCACTATAACAAGAGTGATCAGTTCAGGTGAGCTATTAGCAGGAGGGGGGAAAAAAACCTTTTGGTAGTGATAATCGGGATGCGCATCATCAAGGATCTACAACCTATCCTGAAGGATGATCCCTCACTCTCTCAGATCTTGGGAGACAGGCCAGTCCTTGCTTACAGACAGCCCCCCCCCAACCGGAAGCAAATACTCAGCAGCAACCACACACCAAAAACGCTAACCCAAGAACCTATCCTTGCAACAAAGCCGGTTGCCAACTCTGTCCACATATCTATTCAGGGGACACCATCATAGGACCTAATCACATCAGCCACACTATCAGAGGCTCATTCACTTGCACATCTACTAATGTGATATGTGTTAGCAATGCCCCTCTGCCATGTACATTGGCCAAACCGGACAGTCTCTACGTAAAAGAATAAATGAACACAAATCAGACGTCAAGAATTATAACATTCAAAAACCAGTCTGAGAACACTTCAATCTCCCTGGTCACTCACAGACCTAAAAGTGGCAATACTGCAACAAAAAAACTTCAAAAACAGACTCCCATGAGAAACTGCTGAATTGGAATCAATTTGCAAACTGGACACCATTAAATTAGGCTTGAATAAAGACTGGGAGTGGATGGGTCATTACACTAAGTAAAACTATTTCCCCATGCTTATTTCCCCCCCCCCCATTGTTACTCACACCTTCTTGTCAGCTGTTGGAAATGGGCCATCCTGATTATCACTATGAAAGGTTCTCTTCCCTCCTCCTCCCCCCCCCCCCCGCTGATGATAGCTCACCTTAACTGATCACTCTTGTTATAGTGGGTATGGCAACACCCATTTTTTCATGTTCTCTGTGTGTGTATGTATAGATGGATAGCTATATCTTCCTACTGTATTTTCCACTGCATGCATTCAATGAAGTGGGTTTTAGCCCATGGAAGCTCATGCTCAAATAAATTTTAGTCTCTAAGGTGTCACAAGTATTTCTCATTCTTTTTGCTGACACAGACTAACACGGCTACCACTCTGAAACCTGTCACCACACAGGATAGAAGGAAGCCATAAATATTCAGGGCTGAAAATTTTGAGGAAAGATTCAAAGAGCCATATAGACTCAGACTTTAAGACCAAAAGAGACCATCATGCTCATTTAGTCTGACCACCTGTGCGTTGCAGGCCACAGAACCTCACCCACCCATTCCTGTGATAGACCCATAACCTCTGGCTGAGTTACTGATGTCCTCAAATCATGATTTAAAGAGTTTGTTACAGAAAACCCACCATTTACACTAAGTTAAAACTGAGAGTTGACCCTGCTGCAGAGGAAGGCAATAAAAAACAAACCAACCAACCAGCCCCAGCTCTGTTTGTTGTGGTGAAGCAAAATAACCTTCTGCAAGTCTGGGGATGTAAACTGCAGCCATAGATTGTTTGGGAGAATGGGATGAGAGAAAGGAGTCCAGGTCTGAGCCTGAGGGGTGCTGCCCCAAGGGAAGGTTCTACATTGTTAAAGGCATTGGAAATTAGGAGGTTCAGACACAAAACTTGAGGCTTTTCCCAACTCAGCTTGCTGAAGAATAGGTACTCTAAAGTTGGCACATGAAAATTTCCTTGTTCTCTTTTTCTCCGACCAGTTCAGCTGCTACATAAACTCAGTGTCCGTGCAGCTGATGGGCCCCAGAAACTGTTGAAGGTAAAAGTTTCTATTCCTAACTGTTGAGGGGGAACTTAATGACTCTGTGGTGCTCCGTAAGGGCTGAGAATGTGGTAAGAAGTGAGCCTCTGCTGCTGTACAGAAAAATTGTTTGGAATCCCAAGATCTCACCTTTAAACCTCAAGCTAAATGTGTTTGCCCATGCAGGTCATCAAGAATCCAGTGACTGATCATCTCCCAGTGGGCTGCATGAAGATAGGCACCTCTTCCTCAGTTCCCAACGTGACGGATGTGCGTGAACTGGTTCCCACTGCAGAGCCTGTTGCAATTGTTGTGGGAGCTTTTGCCCATGGCTCGGTAAGGGTAGTGGTAGCTGACACACCTCTTCTCCCATCATTGATTGCCTGGTGGAGCAGACAACCTGTCATGGGAAGTAGGGGACTCTTTCCCTTTCAGTATACATCATGGTGTTCCTGCACTACAGAGAGGATGCTGTTGATGCAAAGCCTGTGCACACCTGCATGATTGCTTATCTTAAGGGGGTATTCCCTTTCAATTCCTCTCCCAGAATTGCACTGAAATTTTATAATTTTATGCCAGTCATGCTAACCCACTTCATCTGGATGCAAAATGTTGAGTTAGTAGCTGTCCTGCCCTGCTTCAAGGGTGGGTGCCTATCAGTTTTGGGTGGATTGCAGTACATAGTGTGAAAAGTACTGAAGTGCAGTGGTTGGGGGTGTTAACTGACTGGATAGTAACATGGATTTCCTACTTCCCCCTCATTCTTCTCTCTCCCCAGCTGAATGTTAACTATACAGAGAAGATGATCTCCATCAGCAACTATCCCCTCTCTGCTGCCCTGACCTGTGCCAAGATCACCACAGCCTTTGAGGAGGCATGGGGGGTGGTGTGAGCCCTCCATAATTGGCCCTGTGGAGTAGGACTCTGATCTTTATAGAATTGGCAGCTATTTTTCTACTCGTGTGTGTAAGGAGCACTGAGAGTCAACCTTGGCTGAAGGCTTAGTAGTAGACTTCAAGGCATACCGTGCTGAGCTTTCCTTCCATACAGGCTGCTCCCACGGTGAGAGGCCAGTAGGCACCCCTCTGGGGCTGATCTTTCTCCTTATATTAAAATTACTTTTGATAAAGATGCGTTTTTGTCCTGTGAATTTTCTAACTGCAGGTGAGTAAAGAGGTGAGGAGAGATGCTGGAGGGTCTGTGCCTGTATTATGACCTTTGCTAACATAAACTTATTCCTCAGCAGCAGCTGACCGTACAGTCAAGAGTAACTGTCACTCAACCATACCCTGATAAACCTGAGCCAGAGAGGTCTCCCACAGCAGATATTTAACATTCCTTGGACCTACTGTTCCCTAGGGAGGAGGTTCCACCCCTCCCACTCACCAGAAAAGGCAGCTGAAGCAGGAGTGGGGAGGGGGAAAAAAAAACAAGAAACAATTTTTATCTGGGATGACTGAGAAGTAGAAAATTCAGAGGTGGTTCCATCCCCACATGGTGGTGGTGTTTAGTGCTTTACAATCATTTGAATTCAGCAGAAAGGAGTGTCCACCAGAGGGCAGCAGAGAGATAAGGCAACATGTAGAGGGTGTGGAAAGTGGAGGGGCATTGCCCTCTGCGCTCTTCACCAGGGGGTCTCTGACCCTGTACTCTCTTTTCCCCTCATCACATTGACAGAACAGTTGAACTTGAACACAGAAAACTTGACAGGTGGTGCTTTAGCAGGGGATGAGTCCATCACCTGTGACAGTTCACGCATGGTACAAACTGAAAGGCAAACAAACAAACAGGCAAAGTTAGGAATAAAGCAGCCTCCATTGACATCTATTATCCCTCAATCCTGATCTGCACCTGTGCCCCCTTTTCTGTTCTAGGCCTCATCTTTCCCTGCCCCACTCTGCAGCTGTACTTAAGTCTCACCTTTTGGCTGTTACTCTGCTTTCTTTAGCTTTTCTTTCCGTGGCACAAGTGCTCTGCGGATGTAAGGCAACACGAGCAGTAAGGTGAGGAATATCATGTGGCCTAAGAAATAAATAGAGCTATACACCTGTGGGGGGAGAGAGGGGATTATTAGCTTGCATGCTGGTCTCTCCCATCCCTCAAAATCTTGCTGCCTTTAAGGCTTTTATGTACCTTGATCCACTTGTCCCAGGCAAAAAGGCAGAACGGCACCAGTGAGTAACCCATGAACATCCAGTGGATGGTTTGCTGCAGCACATAGTAGAGAGGCTGCAGGATGGTGATAGAGGCCCAAGCACTCAGAACAGGAGAGTCCCGCACTAGGTTGATAGCCTGACAAAAGAGGAAAGAGTGGTCAGTATGATATTCCTACTGTAATTTGACATCTATATGCATTACATTCAGGGCGCTGTGCATTCAGTAATCATAGACAAAATTGGCCCCTATGCTCTGAAAGATGTAGTGTTGTCAGACTGCAGACAGTCAAACAATGACTCTAAAAAAAGTTCAGAGAGTTTTAATGTGAACCCTAAAGAGATTAGCTATAAACCAGGGTTGTCATAATAAATCACAGTTAACACATTTTTTTAATGCATTAATGACATACCTATGGGTGGGGTGGAAGGCATCAACACTGTGCTGGATGGGGTGCTGCACTGGAGCAGCCTGCAGCTGCTGCTGGGAAGGGGGGCTGAAGCCCAGAATCCCCAGCCCTGACCCTCTATTGAGCCCCCCCTCCAAATTTAAATAAATGGTATTCTAATGTTTAACTGCAATTAAAACTGATTAATCAATTATTTTTTTTAATCATTTGACAGCCCTACTATCAACAGTGAAATAGTTTAGTTTTAGCAGATGCAACCAGATCATGTGCTCGCAAGTTTCCCAAGTGCCCAGAGCATCAGTTGCCCCCTACCCATATGCCAAACTGGCTTCCTCCCTGACATCTTCTGTGATGGAATTATGGATTGTCCACACAGGTGCCAGCAATCCACTTAAGAGCAAACAATATGGTGTAAAATGCAGATACGTAAGGGACAGGTCAGTTTTATATTTAATTGAGGTAAAGCTTCCAGAGTGAAAGTTTCCGAAAGTTGCCACAGACTCCTGGGTCCTTAGAGCCCATGGGGCCTTGGCTATCACAAGCCATCCCCCCTGCTAATATACCAGACACAGCATACCTGTCTTTCAACGATGACTATAAGGAACTCCATTTGGAAGCACACAAGGTAGCCAGAGTGCAGCCCATGCCACACAGCCAGGAAGAACAGGGCCAATGCCTGTGACAGAAGCTTGTTACCCAAGAACTTCAGCCGTTTGAAGATGTAGCTGGAGCCAAGAAGAGAAACTCAATGCAGTTCTGATTGATTAGCTCCTTTACCCTCTGCACACTGGGGACGTGTTCTGAGAGACTGAAGGCCTCTGTGTCCCTTCAGTGGGATAAGCAGCAGGGTTGTTCCTGCTGCCTGGTCAACATGCCTCAGCCCTGCCCTGGCTAATGGGGAGAGGCCAACCTGCTGAGAGCACTCAAGTGTTGGGGTAGGTGAATACTTTGCATGACTGAGCACTTGTCCAACCGAGAGCTGAGTCACGTCATTTCAAAGGGACCACTGAATGGTCCTGAGATGGGAAAAAACTTTCAATCACAACTGCTTTGGGGCCACATTGGAACCAGTGCCCTAGAGACAAAGGGCTTCATACGCCATTCCCAACATCTCTGCCCCAGCAAGCCCTCCAACTTCTGGCCTGGGCCTAGATTGAGACTGGTGCTCTGATTGTGAAAGGCCCCCTGCTCACCGAGCCACCCAGGCATTGGTGTTGATGTTGAAGGAAGCAATGGTCCCCGTGAAGAAGGGTGTTGTCTCGAATAACCAAACCTTCATGTTGGCACAAGCGTCCCACCGTGGTTTCCCATTCTCATCCTGGCCATTGTACCCAAGGCCAACGACGATGCAGACGCCTTCCTGTGAGAAGCTACATATATCAGGGAAAAGCAGCACCTCCTACTGGAGAAGTCAGAGTTGGGCAGTTATAGGCTCCTCCCCCACAATGGCACAGTGCCTATTGTTGGGAATGGCAGAGATGAGCTGCTACAAGTTGCCTCCCTACTGGCTAGGAAGGGCAGAACTGGGTAGCAGCAGGATACTTCAACTCCCTGGTCTGGCTATTATGTCTTGCTCCCAGCAACTGAAGCCGGGGGGGAAACGGGGGGGGGGGGGGCAGGGAGATGGATGGATGGATTTTTCCCATCCTACAAAAATATGAAATTTCAAAGTTTTCCCCATTCAACAAAGAGTTTTGGGTTCACCAAATCAGCATTTTCTGATTAATTTATTTTGTCAAAACAGTCCCAACCAGCTCTTTGTCACAGCAGCCCCTGTGAAGGAGGGCTGAGCAGAGCAGCTATAAGGTTCCTTGCTCTGATGCATCTGTCCTACTCAAGTTAAAAGGGGAGGTTTTTTCAGGGCATATCCCCCTTCTGGACTCACCGTGACAAGCCAGCAGGTGACATATTTGTAGAGTGTCACTTTGCCCCAGATCAATATGTAAAAGCAGCGGAACCAGAAAGGCTGTTCCTGCAGAGATACAAAGAGAACCCAGGAGGAAAACAGAAATGGTGGTAAACTGTCCAGGTGTTATATTAGCTCTGGCACAACATCTCCTGGATCATGGAGGAAAGCCCCTACTGAAGCAGTCCAGTGGAAGGATTCACATTCATGACTTCAGAGAACCCAAGAGCTCAGGTACCCTAAACAACAAGCTAGCCAGCAGCACTGAAACACAGACAGCAATACGAGATCTGAGCATGTGAGGTCTCATCTCTCTAGTCTGATCTAGTGTTTAAAGGAGAGATACTCTATTTTATATGGCTACCAATAGTTAACCTCCTATAATCCAACTATTTTACAGCCAAATACCAGCTGGAGCAGTAACATAATAGCCATTTCAGAAGCATTTTAGGGTTAATATTAGCGCTGTCAAGCTATGAAAAAAATTAATCGCATTGTTAATAACAGAATACCATTTATTTAAATATTTTGGGATGTTTTCTACATTTTAAAATATATTGATTTCAATTACAGCACAGAATATAAAGTGTACAGTGCTCACTTTATATTTATTTTTATTACAAATATTTGCATGGTAAAAAAAGAAAGTGTTTTTCAATTCACCTAATACAAGTACTGTAGTGCAATCTCTTTATCATGAAAGTTGAACTTACAAATGTAGAATTATGTACAAAAAAATAACTGCATTCAAAAATAAAACAATGTAAAATTTTAGAGCCTGCAAGTCCACTCAGTCCTGCTTCTTGTTCAGCCAATAGCTCAGACAAACAAGTTTTTTAACTTTGGAGGAGATAATGCTGCCCGCTTCTTGTTTACAGTGTCACCTGAAAGTGAGAACAGGAGTTCTCATGGCACTGTTGTAATGCGCTAAAGATTCATATGTCCCTTCATTCTTCAACCACCATTCCAGGGGACATGTGTCCATGTTGATGACAGGTTCTGCTCAATAACAATCCAAAGCAGCTTTCTTTTTTGGTGGTTTGGGTTCTGTAGTTTCCGCATCAGAGCGTTGCTCTTTTAAGACTTCTGAGAGCATGCTCCACACCTCTCATGTCTCTCAGATTTTGGAAGGTTCTTCTGATTCTTAAACCTTGGGTCAAGACTACTATTATATGAAATATGTGTCAGAATGCTGGTAAAACAGAGCAGGGAACATACAATTCTCCCCCAAGGAGTTCAATCACAAATGTAATTAACACATTTTTTAACGAGCGTCACTAGCATGGAAGCATGTCCTCTGGAATGGTGGCCGAAGCATGAAGGGGCATACGAATGTTTAGCATATCTGACACGTAAATACCTTACAATGCCAGCTACAAAAGTGCCATGCAAATGTCTGTTCTCACTTTCTGGTGACATTGTAAATAAGAAGAGGGCAGCATTATCTCCTGTAAATGTAAACAAACTTGTTTGTCTTAGCAATTGGCTGAACAAGAAGTAGGTATAAGTGGACTTGTAGGCTCTGAAGTTTTACATTGTTTTATTTTTGACTCCAGTTATGTATCAAAAAAAATTTTACATTTGTAAGTTGCACTTTCATGACAAAGAGATTGCACTACAGTACTTGTATGAGGAACTGAAAAAATACTGTTTCTTTTGTTTATAATTTGTACAGTGCAAATATTTATAATAAATATACACTTTGATTTCAATTACAACACAAAATAAAATATATATGAAAATGTAGAAAAACATCCAAAATATTTAATAAATTTCAATTGGTATTCTGTTTAACAGTGCAATTAAAACTGCAATTAATTGCAATTAATTTTGAGTTAATCACATGAGTTAATTGTGATTAATCGACAGCCCTAGTTAATATTTTTATTTCTAAATTTTAAAGTCCTTTTTTGTTCATGGTTATGTAGAAAAACTGATGAACTTTAGGGAGAAATCAGTCATGTCTCCAAGGATCTTAAAAAATCAGATCAGTTTCAAACTCAAGTGAGTTAACCTGAAGAGTGAACTGGACCTGCTGAGTAAAGTCACTACTTATTTTTTTAAGCAACAACATTGACAAACAAGCACGACCCTGAGTGGATCCTTCATTGTTGTGCTGGCATTAGGGAATGCTTAGTTTGTGAAGTCTTGAAAATAAATGATTCATGATTTCTTCTTTACCTTTTTTAAGGTATAAAAAATCCTAGGAAACTATATGCAAAGAACTTTGTTATGGTAATGATTAAAGGCTAATCATTACATGATCAGGAAATATAAATGGTTCCAACAGTAACTGGATTGCACTAAGTTTTTTGTTCAATTTATAATTCAGTAGTCGTGTTCATCATTAAATGCAACCCCTCAGGCATGCAATGCCACTGAATTAGTGGGGGGTGCTTAACATTTGCAGTAACTAACCTTCTGTGATATTTAACCAGGCAATCCTTAAAAGTCCTTTCATTTAGTTTTACAATTCCTGTCTTGAGTAGCTGGTGCCACCTACAGGAATAGATTTTAGTTTAGGAATAGATTAGTAAAGCTCAACTCTTACTACTAAGACTAGTACTTACAAGGTATGCATCAGAGATGAGGTCTTCATCAGAGATGTATTGGCTCACTAGGGTATAGGTTACCAGAAAGAAGAGGCCTAGGGTAAGGCGCTTGACAGCAGGCACAAGGCTGGGAGGGGGGAAAGAAAGTGGAGATCAGAGGTCAAATGTTGGAAAGAAACTCAAGACTCCCAAATTGAACAAAATAGAAGTGGAGATAAGGGCTCAGATGGGGCTGAAGGAGGATCCACTGCAGTGGCCACCCCCACTGGGATCAAGACCCCCACAAGGCTTGGGCTGGGTCTGCATTGAGTTTTACAGAGTCAGAACAAAACAACAATACCCAGTACTAAGGAGGGTGCTGTGATGTGGCAAGTTTGTAGGCTGCTTCCCCCGAGAGTCAGTATTGACCCCTGAGCTCCAGTGTGGTGCTAGATGGCAATGTAATGCAGGGACTGGCGTGAATATCTTGGTAAAGGGTGCTTGGGGCTCTCATGAGGGAGGGGGCCAGCGTGGCTCTGGTTACCTGTTGGGTCTTTGGCCTGGAACATCAGTCATCTCGCCCCTTGCCAGTTTCTGATAGTCTGTCATGGAGAACTGGGGCCCCACCATGAAGGCACCGTAAAAATAGGAGAAACCTGAAACCTCCAGTAAGGTAGGAACTCCATGGACTGCAAACCGCTTCTGCTCAGGGTTCAGGGACTCCTGTATCAAAGGGAGCGACATTAATATTGCCCTAGACTAATTGTGGATTTAACTCCCGCAATCCATCTCCCCTCTGGTTTGAGTTATCAACTGCTTTGCTCAAAGGACTCACCAGTTCATTGATTCCTGCGGATGCAAGCCTGCAACCCCACAACAGTAACAGTATCTGCACTCAAGGCCCAATCGTGGGGACCCACGCTCCCAGCTGATCCCTCAACAGGGGGAACTGCACCCACCCCCTCCAGCATGCCAAGTGCACTAGGAGCTGCACTCCTAGTCTCCTCTAGTTTGCAGTGGCATGCACACACCCCAACTCATACAAAGCTCCAGTGCTGGGATCCATACTTCCCAGCAGAAGGATACATTCTTGGGGCACAAGCCCATTACACTACTCAATAGTTTTGTTGCTTGAACTTCACCTTGGAAGTCTCAACTGAACCATGCTCTCTTATTATCAGTGGTGATTTGTCTGGGTGGTGGGGACAGGGCAAAGCCCCAAACAGTAGACATGCAAGGGATATGTTAGAATGGGGATTAGGAGACAACAGCAGAGATTCAAGTCTCTCTTCCTAAAGGATGCAGGCTTTCTCACACCCTACTTTGGGTAGGGTGACTGCTCCCTAGTTGCTAGGGTCCTGGTCACAACACCCTAAACAAGGAATAAGGCAGAGGGGCAGGTCATCTACATGGGTAGGCACCCTGTGGGACTGAAGAGGGGAGAACAGGGATGAGACTGAACCAAGGGAAAGGAGCACAGGAAGTATGACCCAGTGTTGAGATGTCTGTAAGACTGGGGAGTATTTCCGCAAAGGAAGGGCCCCATTGTTCAGGACATGGGGAACTAGAAGCCCTGAGGAATGGATTTTATGAGATTTGGGAGAGAATAAGATCCTGTCATGGATCCCAGGGCTGAAATGGCTAGCCCCAGCTGTGATTACTATTATCCCAGACAATCCCCTTCCACTCTGGAGTTCATGTCCCTTATACACATGCAGATGCACCCTCCAAGCCATGGCTTTGCTGAGCTGGGGATTTAGCTCTTTGGCTCTCTCCCCAGAACTTGACTCCTCTGGCCTCCAGAAGTGGAAGAGAGAGATGGGGCTTCACTCACCAAATCCTTCCCTCCATCGTAATAATCGATGGCCAAGCCTAGAGATAGAGAGAGAACAGAATTACGCTGAGACCATCTTTGGAAGGATACGGTTGAACCCCTAAGGATTTAAACACCTCCTCATCTTTGGGGCAGGAGTGGTGGAAAGCATATACACAGTGTGTGTAAGGGAAGGGAACAGGTGGCATCACTCACCAATCAGCTTGAGAGTCAAGACACAGTGTGGCATGGTCCACTTAATGTCATAATGCTCTGTGGCGGTGAAGTAATAACCAGCCATAAGGTATGTCTGAAAGAGACCATGCTATGGATTACTCAGGCTGACTACTGCAGCAAAACTTGTTCTATCCCCTCCCATGCTCACTACTGGGAAGTAAAGAATTGGGTAGCAGCAGCAGGCTCCCCACTCTAGGTGAACACAGAGAAGAAGGAGGCACTTACTATTTGAAAGCAGAAGGTGGTCAAGACAGCAGTTACTGTGCGGCCCATAAGCCTCAGTATGAGGAACTGGATCAGGACACACAGCAGGGAGTGAGTGAACTGCGTCCCTGTAGAGAGAGATGGACTGGGAATTGAACTACACAGCAGCTCCTAAACACAGGTTCTCAAACCGCAGCAAGCTCTGAGCCAAGCAGCCCATTTCTCCCCATATCCCTCTTACCGAAGTTGAAGTAGGCAATTGAGAGCCCTGTTAGGGTGTTGTACAGGTGAATGAGGTAGACCTCCTTCTGGAAGAGGAAATAGCGCTGGAACAAGGCAAAAGGGTATCCTGGGTGGGGAAAGAGACAGGAATATAACTTAGTGCAGACAAGAAGACAGGTTTATACAAGTCCAAGCCATAAACCTCTAGGGCCCATTAGTGGGTGTGTGTGCTCCTGGGCTCTGTATTCCCCCGCCCCGGTGGCCCAAGAATTAAGGTTGCCTGTGCAATCTTAATTCAGTCCCCTTGTGTACATGCATTATGATACAATCTTTAATTACATAATCACTATTATTTCCACAGGTTTCAGAGTAGCAGCCGTGTTAGTCTGTATCCGCGCAAAGAAAAGGAGGACTTGTGGCACCTTAGAGACTAACAAATTTATTTGAGCATGAGCTGTAGCTCACGAAAGCTTATACTCAAATAAATTTGTTAGTCTCTAAGGTGCCAGAAGTACTCCTTTTCTATTATTTCCACAGGATCCCTACCTCATTTAGTGCAGAGGATGAATGGTGCTCACTGAATAGGCAGTTATTCAATACTTTGTTTTCTCCTCATTGAACAATGTGTGGTTCTAAGACTTATTTACTACACACTATTCAAACCCTGTTCTGAAGATAAAATTATTCATTTCCGCATAGACTTTTCTGCAGCACTCATCACTACAGCATACAAGTGCTTCACAAATGTTAATTTATCTTCACAACACCCTCAGAGGCAATATGATATTATCCTCATTGTACAGAAGGGAAACTGAGGGGCAGAGATTAATGGCAAAAAGTTCCCTCTAATTTTAGGTGCTCAATTTGAGATGCATGGAACTTTTTTCAGAGTAATTAGCATTATATAGCACTTTATGTATTCAAGTGCAGCTCCCACCGACTTCAGCTGCAGCTGTGAGTGCTCAACACCTCTGTAAATCAGACCTCAGAAAGTGAGGAATACACAATTAGTGACCATCTGTGAAAAGTTTGGTTTAAGTGATTTCCCCAGTATCACACAGGAATTCTATGGTAGAGACAGGAATGAATCCAATTGTCCAGGGCAGCATTCAACTGTATTAATTATGAGACCATCCTTTCTCTTCCTGCAATCCCCAACTTTATTCACCTTCCAACTTCTGCACCAAACGAGACAGGGGTCCTAAGGACAACAGCCACCTTCACTATGCAACCCTGATTTGTTCTCAGGGTCCCATACAAAATGTTCAGAGGAGCTGTGAGAGGATGGAATCTTTGGAGATTTTAGCTGTTAAGCTCTGCAGGGCTCTACTGAACATATTAAAACTGGTTTTTCGAAGGCTTATAAACTTGGCCAAATTTGGGCAGATTTTCCCAGGAACAGCAAAAGGCATCTCTCTGCCTCTGGACACAAATTTCAACCCCTGCTCCAAAGCATAGGGCCACTAGAGCTGTTCAAGGAAAATGTCTCAAGGATTGAAAAAAAAAAAAAAAAAAAAAACCAAAACAAACCAACAAATCACTCTCAGAAACGGCTGAACCATTTTGGTGGAAACTGTCCCCCAAAAAATTCAGCCTTAGGAAGACACCCAATGGGAAATTTCAGACAAAGTTATAACCAACTGAAAACAAAATCTTATATTGGGAAGTGCCAGGCAACCCTAATAATTGCTATCACAATTTGCTTCACCTATAATTATTGGGCTGACAAGTTTACAAATTCGTGGTAGCCAGAAGAATAAACATCCTTGCCAGAGTCCAACACAGAAAATGAGGAACCACCAGCAAGGTCCAGGGGCAAACAACTACTTGAAATAGGGCTCCACTATGAATGCATTTCCTGAGGCTCAGCAACACATTTGATCATACTGACACCGATAAGAGTCACAGCTACTTGCTTCTCTTGGAAGACACTCAGTTCTATTGGTCAGGAAGTGGGCAAGGAACATCCGTATGCATGATTACATTACCCTAATGCTGCTGCTTACTAGTGTCTCATCTTCTCTCTACTTAGGAGTCAAATTACTTCCAGTGTCATATTGGCCTGAGTTGAGAATGACTTAGCTGTTGACCTGGCCCTATCTATAGGCTATCATAATAATAATAATAATATAAAATTGTCAATACCTTACAACCTAATACAACCCAATTTCTCCAACAGTCTATGCATGAGCTTTAACTATATGGGGAGATTGAAGAATCTGTTGTTCCATTATTAAGATTATTCAGGATAAAAGAAGTGGGGCGCCAGCTTCTAAAATGAGCGCTAACTTTCTTATTTTGATTAAAACTTATAAATAAATGTTGTAATTAAGATCTAAATGCTCAGAAAATTCATTCTGTATTCCAGTTGTAAATCTCATAATTTTGGGGGAAGTTATACGTGTCCTTCATACATAAGAGGCTGAATTCTTGGTGCAAGTGCAAAACACAACACAACCACAGTTACAAAGCTGTGACCAGTGACTCTACAATATATTCAGTATCTTACTGTTGTATTCTGCACCTCTCACAGGGAAACTATGCTCCCCTTTATGACGACTGCTATTTCTGTCCTTTGTTGTTCTTCCTTCCCCATTCTTCTTTCTCTACTTCTCTCCCTCATCTTTGGGCTTGTGTACACTGAGATTGGAATTGAAATAATTAAATCTGTTGCAATTCATACTTTTTGGTTATTTTGGTATAAGTCTGCGCAGAAACTCATTCCAAAATAAGACTGCCCAATGAAATAACTGATAACTATTTCAATTCCACTTTCCACATAGAAAAGCCCAAAGTCTCTTTCTTCCCTACAGCATCTTACAATTCCTACACCCCACTCTATCCACTAAAATGATCAGCAGTAAAAATGAATCATCATCATCAGGCTTGAAGGGATATGAGACATTTATTGTCTTTCTGAAATGACTGACAGCCTGAAACACTCTCCATTTATATTCAGTGCATACACGGAAAGGTTTTTTTCCCTAAGTCACAATGGCTAGAAGCTTGCTCCCTTTCGGCAAGCAAAGTTTAGTTTCTGCAGAATCTGAACATATCATACCAGCTCCAAAATTACATCAAGAAGGTTGATCATTTGACACCTCTGTCTTAGGCAAAGGAGTAATCTGTTCCCAAAATCACCTCTACCAAAACCAGAGAAAATACTGAAAGCAGCAGCAGGGGAAGCTTCTCTAGATGGTGCCAAGGAAGAAGTGGAAAATGCCAGATAAAGGCCTGGTCTAGAAAATTAGGTTGGTTTAACTACATCAGTCAGGAGTGTGAAAAATCCATACACCCTGTGTGGCACAGTTAAGCCAACCTAAGTCCCCATGTGGAGATAGTGCTAGGTTGATAGAAGAATTCTTCTCTGCCTCTTGGGGAAATTAATTACTTACACTGACTGGAGAACCTCTCCCAATGGCATAAGTAGTGTCTACACTAAAGCTCTACAGTGGCGCAGCTGTTCTGCTGTAGCGTTTTAAGTGTAGACATACCATAAAAGAATGCACAGACCAATTCGATATTGAGGCATTTCAACTCATGGCTGATGCCAGTGTCAGAAATAGAGAGATTTTTGGGGATGCCAACACCATGATCTGGCCTACTGAGGCCCAGACATCTGGCCACCCAACACTGTGGGAACAGTCCAGATAGATACATATGGCATTAAGTTTTCAGCACATCAGATAATAGGAACACTAGAACCCTGGTATCATAAGATCTGGAGGCCATCAACATTAAGACATCCAAGTGGAGGACATTAGATGTTGTCCATCTCAACACCTGGAGCCCTGGAATCAGGACAAACCCATGGTGACAGTGGTGCGAAGAGTCAGGAGCCTCATGGCTCACCTTATTTTTCCTTGATACTGAGGGAGAAGACTGACACTGAGGCTGTCTCTCAGCCCTGGTCTACACTACGAGTTTAGGTCGAATTTAGCACCGTTAGATTGATTTAACCCTGCACTCGTCCACACAACAAAGCCATTTTTGTCGACTTAATGGGCTCTTAAAATCGATTTCTGTACTCCTGCCCGATGAGGGAATTAGCGCTGAAATCAACATCGCCGGGTCGAATTTGGGTTAATGTGGATGCAATTCGATGGTATTAGCCTCCAGGAGCTATCTCGCAGTGCTCCATTGTGACCACTCTGGACAGCACTCTCAACTCGGATGCACTGGCCAGACAGACAGGAAAAGCCCCACAAACTTTTGAATTTCATTTCCTGTTTGGCCAGCGTGGCAAGCTGATCAGCACAGGTGACCGTGCAGATCTCATCAGCAGAGGTGACCATGGAGTCCCAGAACTGCAAAAGAGCTCCAGCATGGACCAAACGGGAGGTACTGGAACTGATCGCTGTATGGGGAGACGAATCCGTGCTATCAGAATTCTGTTCCAAAAGACGAAATGCCAAAATATTTGAAAAAATCTCCAAGGTCATGAAGGACAGAGGCTATAACAGGGTCCCGCAGCAGTACCGGGTGAAACTTAAGGAGCTCAGGCAAGCCTACCAAAAAACCCAAGAGGCAAACGCCCGCTCGGGGTCAGAGCCCCAGACATGCCACTTCTACGATGAGCTGCATACAATTCTAGGGAGTGCCCCTACAACTACCGTACACCTGTATGTGGACTCCTGCAAGGGAGTCTCACGCAACAGGGATGAGGATTTTGGGGACGAGGAAGATGATGAGAAGGGGGAGGTTGAAGATAGCGCACACCAGGCAAATGGAGAAACCGTTCTCCCCGACAGCCAGGAACTGTTTATCACCCTGGAGATAGTACCCTCCCAACCTGAGCTCCCAGACCTTGAAGGTGGAGAAGGCACCTCTGGTGAGTGTACCTTTGTAAATATAATACACGGTTTAAAAGCAAGCATGTTTAATGATTAATTTGCTCTGAAGACTTGGGAAGCATTCGCGGCCAGTACAGCTACTGGAAAAGTCTGTTAACATGTCTGGGGATGGAGCAGAAATCCTCCAGGGACATCTCAATGAAGCTGGCCTGGAGGTACGCCCAAAGCCTTTGCAAAAGGTTTCTGGGGAGGGCAGCCTTATTGCGTCCTCCATGGTAGGACACTTTACCACGGGCAGGCCAGTAGCATGTAGTCTGGAATCATTTCATAAGAAAGCATGGCAGCGTGTGGTCCTGGCGTTTGCTGGCATTCAAACAACATCTATTCTTGATCTCTCTGTGTTATCCTCAGGAGAGTGATATCATTCATGGTCACCTGGTTGAAATAGGGGAATTTTATTAAGGGGACATTCAGAGGTGGCTGTTCCTGCTGGGCTGTTTGCCTGTGGCTGAACAGAAATCTTCTCCGCTGTTAGCCACGCGGTGGGGGGAGGGGTGAAGCGATCATCCCAGAGAATTGGGGGGGTGGGGGGTTAGTTGGGTTTGTGCTGCATGTTAACCCGAACACCGCAGCCCCTCCTTTTAAACTGCCAACCCATTTTAAATGGCCAACCCAACGGCTGTTTGGTATGGGAAATGAGGGCGCTGCTGTTTGAAACCATTCCCACCAACCATTATGAAGGTTAAAGAAGCCAAAAGACTGTGGCTTACCATGGCTGCCTTCAAGCCGAATTCTGTTGCCCGCCGGCCCTGCACGTGTGATCTCTCACACCAAACCGGCAGACCCTCAATATAAGAGGCAAAATGCGACCTTGTACCAAATGCACATGTGCTATGTAATGTTAACAGCAAGGTTCATCCTGAAAGAGTCTACCCATTGTTCTCTAAAATGTGTCTTAACTACTACTCTCTTTTTCTCCTCCCGCAGCTGCAAATGTTTCAACGCTACACTATCATCTCCTTCCCAGAGGCTAGCAAAGATTAGAAGGAGAAAAAAACCGCACTCGCGATGAAATGTTCTCTGAGCTCATGCAGTCCTCCCACACTGAAAGAGCCCAGCAGAATGCATGGATCAGACAATGTTAGAGTCCAGGAAAGCACAATATGAATGCGAAGACAGGTGGCAGCTTGAAGATAATAAGTGGCAGGTTGAAGATGATAGGTGGCGTCAGCTTGCTGACAGAAGGCAGGAGTCAATGCTGAAGCTACTGGACAATCAAACTGACATGCTCCAGCGTATGGTTGAGGTGCAGGAAAGGCCGCTACAGCCCCTGTGTAACCAACCGCCTTCCTCCCCAGGTGCCATAGCCTCTTCACCCAGTCGGCCAAGAACGCAGTGGGGGAGCCTCCAAGCACCCAACCACTCCACCCCAGAGGCCTGCCCAAGCAACAGAAAGCTGGCATTCAATAAGTTTTAAAGTGCAGTGTGGCCTTGTCCTTCCCTCCTCCATGACTCCTTGCCAGTTATCCCCCTATTTGTGTGATGAATTAATAAAGAATGCATGAATCTGAAGCAACAATGACTTTATTGCCTCTGCAAGCGGTGATCGAAGGGGGGAGGGGAGGGTGCTTAGCTTACAGGGAAGTAAAGTGAATCAAGGGGCAGGGGTTTTCATCAAGGAGAAACAAACAGAACTTTCACACTGTAGCCTGGCCAGTCGTGAAACTGGTTTTCAAAGCTTCTCTGATGCGCACCGCATCCACCCGTACTCTTCTAACCATGCTGGTGTCTGGCTGCGCGTAATCAGCGGCCAGGCGATTTGCCTCAACCTCCCACCCCACCATAAATGTCTCCCCCTTACTCTCACAGATACTGTGGAGCGCACAGCAAGCAGTAATAACAATGGGAATATTGGTTTCGCTGAGGTCCAACTGAGTCAGTAAACTCTGCCAGCGCGCTTTTAAACATCTAAATGCACATTCTACCACCATTCTGCACTTGCTCAGCCTATAGTTGAACAGCTCCTGACTACTGTCCAGGCTGCCTGTGTATGGCTTCATGAGCCATGGCATTAAGGGTAGGCTGGGTCCCCAAGGATTTTAACTATAGGCATTTCAACATCCCCAACGGTTATTTTCTGGTCTGGAAAGTAAGTCCCTTACTGCAGCTGTTCATACAGACCAGAGTTCCTGAAGATGTGAGCATCGTGTACCTTTCCCGGCCATCCCACGTTAATGTTGGTGAAATGTCCCTTGTGATCCACCAGTGCTTGCAGCACCATTGAAAAGTACCCCTTTTGGTTTACGTACTCGCTGCCTTGGTGCTCCAGTGCCAAGATAGAGATAAGTGTTCTGTCTATCACCCCACCAGAGTTAGTGGATGGCTTTGCTGCAGTGGGATTCCCTATGACCTGCACATTTCCCAGAGTCACACCCTTGGTAGCAGCAGCTCAGTGATTGCGTTGGCTACTTGGATCACAGCAGCCCCCACAGTAGATTTGCCCACTCCAAATTGATTCCCGACTGACCAGTAGCTGTCTGGCATTGCAAGCTTCCACAGGGCTATCGCCACTCGCTTGTGAATTGTGAGGGCTGCTCTCATCTTGGTATTCTGGCAGGGGAAAACAAGTCACAAAGTTCCCTGAAAGTGCCCTTACACATACGAAAGTTTTGCAGCCATTGGGAATTGTACCAGACCTGCAACACTATGCGGTCCCACCAGTCTGTGCTTGTTTTCTGAGCCCAGAATCGGCGTTCCATGGCATGAACCTGCCCCATTACCACCATGATGTCCACATTGCCAGGGCACATACTTTAAGAGAAGTCTGTGTCCATGTCCTCATCACTCTCCTCACCACGCTGCCATCGCCTACTCGCCTGCTTTTGCAGGTTCTGGTTCTGCATATACTGCTGGATAACGCGCATGGTGTTTAGAACAGTCATAACTGCTGCGGTTATCTGAGCGGGCTCCATGCTTGCTGTGGTATGGCGTCTGCAGGAGAGCAGAGTGGCAGCGGAAGCGGTGGGTGGATGACGATGCTGACAGCAATATGGCGCCTGCACAGAAAAATGCGCGAAACAATTGTCGGCCACTGCTTCCACAGAAGTAGAGGGAAGCAAGGGGTAGGCTGGCAGCAGATAGTGCAGTACGACTGCTCGCCGTCGTCTCCTGGGTGTTGACAGTGCTGCTGGCTGGGAGAGCAGCCTGAGGCAGAATGGCCCCCTCAAGGACTGAACTCACAACCCTCGGTTTAAGCAGGCCAATGCTCAAACCACTGAGCTATCCCTCTGCCAATATTCCAGGCAGGACTGAATCTCCATTAGACAAAATTTAAAGAAGAGAATGACCTGAGTCACCCCCATTTATGTCCAGGCGCCTCTGACAGAACTCACCGAGGTCTGCCAGGAGCACCGATGTCTGCCCAGGCGCCCCTGACAGACCTCACCGAGGCCAGCCAAGAGCACCCAGGAGACGACAAGGGCGGCTACCAGTCATAATGCACCATCTGCTGCCACAAGGCAATGAGCTGCTGCTGTGTAGCAATGCAGTCCCACGTCTGCCAGCACCCAGGAGACGTGCGGTGACGGTGAGCTGAGCGGCCTCCATGCTTGCCGTGGTATGGCATCTGCATGGGTAACCCAGGAAAAAAGGCGCAAAATGATTGTCTGCTGTTGCTTTCACGGAGGGAAAGGGGACCTGACGACATGTATCCAGAACCATCCACAACATATTTTTTGCCCCATCAGGCATTGGGATCTCAACCCAGAATTCCAATGGGCAGCGGAGACTGTGGCAACTGTGGGATAGCTACCCACAGTGCAACGCTCCGGAAGTTGATGTTAGGCTCGGTACTGTGGATGCACTTCGCCGACTTAATGGTCTTAAGTGGGGACACACACAATCGACTGTATAAAATCAATTTCTAAAAAATCGACTTCTATAAATTCGACCTAATTTCGTAGTGTAGACATCACCTGAGATAGCACTCAATGTAGGAGCAAGTCTTTTTGCCCACAGGTTTCAGAGGACAGGACCATGAAGATGAAGAGCTCCAGAAGGGCAGTTTAATAGCACCTGTCCCAAAAACTTGGAACATGGTAGCTAAATCCTGATATCCCCAGGCCCAGAGAGCGAGGCTACCAGATCTTGACTCACCAGTGCAAGCCTGAGAACTCAGAGGAACCTCTCCAGGCACTTTAGTGCCAGAGCATGACATCCTCTGAGAATTGCCTCAATACAGCATAAGGCAGCCCTCCAGGGTTCACAGGTGTGGTTGGTGAACAACTAACACATGGAACGTCAGTCAAGAATTAATAAAATAGAAGAAATAAGAGTTGAAGAGCTCTCTGGCCCACTGATATCAGTTTCTAATAAAACCTGGAGTATTGGGGAAGTTTCAGAGGACTGGAAGAAAGCTAATGTGCAAATATTTATAAACGTACCACAAGGTGACCAGGTTAACTGTAGGCTGGTTAGTCGAACAGTGCCTAGGAAAACAATGGAATGGTGAAAAGAAGACTCAAAGAATTACAAGGATAGAAATATAAATAATGCCAATCAACATGGTTTAAGGGAACATAGGTCTTTTCAATCAAATTATTTTTGGTAAGAACTTTGTCAGCTAAGCATGTAATAACTGACATATTAAGTATTATTTGTAGTATTGTAGCACCTTTAGAAGCCCTAGTTATGGAGCTGTGCTCCACTGTGCTGGGGGCTGTCAAAAACGCAGTTCCTACCCAAAGAGTTTACAATCCAAGTATAAGACAAAAAGACAACAGGAGGACAGACAGATGGGAATACAGAAAAATGGGACAATATTAGAAGTTATTGACTTTGTATAGCGTTATGGAACATACTAGATCTAGATCTCAAAATATGGGAAATCATCACTGAATACAAGCATTTCTTAGAGGGTTCTGCAGGGACTGGGTCTAAGCTATTCAATATTTTTATCAACAATCATTGCTGATAAGTTTGAAGATGACAAAGACTTGATGCAGTGGTAAATAATGTGAACAGCACAGAACAATCTGAATTGCTTGGTAAACTGAGCACATTTAAACATGTGTTTTAATAAGGTCAGATGCATCAAGATTCAAGGTCATGCATCCAGATCATCAGAATGTAGGCTGGGGGGAGACTGTAACCAGGAAGAGATGTGAATCTGAAAAGGACTTCAGTTCACAACAGATAAACAACTAAACAAGAGTTCCTAGTGTAACAGCGTGGCTAAAAGGGATAATGTAATTCATGGATGTATGAACAGAGGAATATCAAAGAGGAGGAGGGAAATGGCATTACCTGTGTATAGGGAAGTGGTGAAACCACTGCTGGAATACTACATCAGTTCTGGTGTCCACATTTCAAGAAAGGCAATGAAAAAGTTTGAGAGGCTTCAGAGAAGAGCCACTAGAATGATGTGTGGTCTGGAGCACATGCCTTATAGTAAGAGGCTTAGGAACTCTTGTCTCTTTAGCTTATCAAAAAGAAGCTTAAAAAGGCAACCTGATCTTGTTCACAAGCAGAAGGTATCAGATACTAAAAGACTCTCAAACTAGCACACAAAGGTATAGTCAGATCCAATGGCTAGAAGCTGAAACTAGACAAATTAAATTAAAAGAGTGCCTTTTTTTTTGGACAGTGCACATAATTAAGCAGAACACATTAACAGGAATGTGGTGGATTCTCCATCACTTAACATCAGTAAATCAAGATTAAGTGTCTTTCTAAAAGATTTGCTCTAGTTCCACCATAAATTAGGTGCAAGAATTACTGGATGATGCCATATGGCCTGAGTTAGGCAGGTCAGACTAGAGGATCACAGTGGTCCAATCTAATGTTAAAAAAAATAAATCTATGGCTCTACCTGCTCCCCCTTCAAAGCAGAATAGGTATTGTGCACATCAGTCAGCAATAGGCATTGGGCCAACTCATAAGCTCAGCTTGAAGCCAATAGACTTTGCTTCACCTGTCACGGAAGTGCTTGTAATGGTACCCAAGTGACTCAGTGGAGCCTTGGGAGACTCAGGCCATGCCTACACTACAAACATTGGTTGACATAAACCTGTGTGCGTGTATACTTGGCTAGTGTCAGCAGTATGCATACGCACCAGGAACGCGTGTAACAACACACAGTTGGGTGCATGGGTAGGTATCCCACATGCAACCCATCACCAGCCAGCGCACAGTCTTTTGGGAAGTTTTGGCAACGCACAGTATGGCAGAAATGAGATGCACAGGAGTGTCAACCTTTGATTTAGTGGGGATTGGTCCTGCTTTGAGCAGGGGGTTGGACTGGATGACCTCCTGAGGTCCCTTCCATCCCTGATATTCTATGAACTTCTAAGTGTTTAACTGTCTACAACCCATAATGTCATCTTTATCCCACAATCTTCATGGCTAATTTTTCAAAATCACAAATCCGTGCTGCTCTCCTCGCTATTCACCATCTGAGACAGAAACATGGATCCCGCATAGCTCTGTACTACTGTCATGAGTGTTGCAAGCACAGTACACATGATCCTTTAGTATTTGCAGAGCTGCAAGAAGAACTGAATCAATGGGGAACATGATGAATTCTTAGAGGACAGAACGCTGTGGGATGTGTAGAAAAACAATTAAAGGTTGGTGGTGGTGTTCACAGAGCAGCTGCAGATCGTGGAGTGCCACTTCTGGGCCTGAGAAATGAGCACTGACTGGTGGGATCGCATCGTAATGCAGGCTTGGGATGACAAGCAGCAGCTGCAGAACTTTTGGATGCGCAAGGCCACATTCATGGATTTGTGCAAAGCTCGCCCAGCCCTGTAGCACAGAGACATCAAAATGAGAGCTGCACTGACACTGGAGAAACGAGTAGCGATCACAATGTGGAAACTTGCAACGCCAGATTACAACTGGTCAGTTGAGTATCAATCAGAAGTGGGAAAATCCACCGCAGAGGCCATTATCATACAAACGTGCAGGGCCATTAATCATCTCCTAAGTAGGATTGTGACTCTTGGCAACATGCAGGACATAGTGGATCAATCTGCTGCAATGGGGTTCCCAAAGTGCAGTAGGACACATTCCTATTTTTGCACCAGACCACATGGCCACAGAATACATCAACAGAAAGGGCTACTCTTTTTTGTTTATGCAAGTGTTCATGGATCACTGGAGACACTTCACTGACATTAGTGTGGGCTGGTGCATGACGCTTGTATCTTTAAAAAACACAAGACTTTTCAGAAAGCTACAAGAAGGGAGTTTCTTTCTTGACCAGCAGATTGCCATTGGGAATGTTGAAATGCCAATAGTAATCCTGGGAATCCCAGCCTACCCCTTGCTGCCCTGGCTCATCATGAAGCTGTACACTGTCTGTCATGGATCCACAGGTCTGGTGCTCTGGAACAGTCCCTGGGAGGACCCCTTCAGAGTGTTCACCACCTTAGGGTCTCTCACTCTCATTGGGGTAAGCCCATTAGCTTCACTGCCTCATGGGATTGAACCCTGAAGCCTTCAGCACCGCTGCTTACTCCGTGAGCTACCCTCAAAGAGTCCACTTGATTTGGACACCCGGGGGAAGGCTTGCACACCCAAAGGGAGCAATGCACCCCCAACTTCCTTAGACTGGAATGACTCTCAGCCAGTGCTGTAAAAACAGAAGGGCTTATTAGATGTCTGGAACACAGCATAGAAAGTTTTTGGTTAGCACAGAGAACAGAAAAGTTACAGCAAAGTCCATCTGACTCTGTCCAGAGCTCTCTCTGACCTATTGAGTCCCAGTCCAGAATCCAGAGTCCTCCTTCCAACAGTCCATACTACAAACACCTGGCCCCTCCTCTGTCCTTTGTTCTGTTTCCTGGGGAAAACAGGTCACTTGGCTACCCATCCTTAACTCTTTGTTCTCCACCTGGTCACAGCCAGCTGGCTTCCTGCAGAGGGTGTTGGCAGCCCTTGGTCACTAGTTGTTGTCATGAGGTTATGGAAACTGTGACTTCCAGAGACTGACCCCCTGTGACATTTTCCGCTTCAACCCTGGGGTAGCAGAGGTGGAGGCCCCCCTTCCCCCCCCCCGCATAGCCCCCTGCTGCCACAGGTGGTGATGGGGGCCCTAGAGACCAGCAGCGGGTGCTGGACCCTCCTTCCTCCCCATTTTGTCCGTTATTTTTAGTAAAAGTCAGGGACAGGTCACAAGCGTCTGTGAATTTTTGTTATTGTCTGTGACTTGTCCCTTTTACTAAAAATAACAGTGACAAAATCTTAACCTTAGTTATTGTTGCCTGCTGTGTCCTGCATGTCTGTGCAGTAAAGGGAGAAAAATTTCCACTAGGGTAAAAGGGCGGAGGTGAAGCAGTTACCTAGTGAGTTTAAACAGCCAGACAAGGGCTATTAAAAGAGCACCACACAGAGCTACAGAGCTCAGGGAGGCTTTGAAAGACCACTTCAAGAGTGATCCACAGTGATACACTGTGGTGTACTGTGTTTTACCAGGCTCTGCTGTTTTGTGGCCCATTAAGAACTGTGTGGTGCCTGGTGTACATGTATAATTCTAATACTATCAATGCACCTATTAATTTTGTCTGTGACCGATCCTAAGAGTTGTGTGACACTGTACAGTAACATATAATTGGTTGCTTTCAGAAGTGCTAGGCACTCGGGAACATATGTTGTGAACTGATACAGATAAATTATGTTCTAAATAATAGAATTTTATTCTGTTACCAAATCAGTACAACCTCCCCCCCCAAAAAAGTGCAATTTTAAAATAAATGCATTAAAAACTTAACAAAATAAATTAACAAGAACTGAACTTATGAAGGGAAAAGAACATTCATGTCAATTTCAGCTACACAGACCAAATATGGTTTTTACAGGTCAGAGTATGTGAAGCTGCGATTGTCTTTAACGTACCCCAGGGTGGAGTGGTACAGGTAGTGCAGCAGCCCCTGATGTCATAAGGACTGTTGGGGGAAAGGCAGAGAGGTCCCATAATAGAGTTCTCAGTGGGTTGCAGAGGAAAGTGAGCCCGGGACTGTTGAACCTGTAAGTCCACCAGAGTTGCAGTATCAGTGATTGCTGCCTGAGAAGCCCCATTATGTCTTGGTGCATTTCACTCTCCTTTTACTGCTGGAATTCCCAGGCCCCTGTCCTTTCCACTCTTTCCTTCTCCTGGCTGTCTGCAATGCTGACCCTCCAAGCCATGTGCTCATGGTCTGATGCAGCACTGGCATGCAAGATCTCACTGAACATGTCATCCTGAGTCCTCTTCTTTCTCTTATCTGGCTCAGGTATTCCCCGGGTGTGGTGGGGGAAACTTCAAGGCTGCAAGGGCAGCAGCTGCAGAGAAAACACAGAGCAGTACTATAGACAGTATTGTCACAGTCAACATAGTTACAACAGGTTTCAGAGTAACAGCTGTGTTAGTCTGTATTCGCAAAAAGAAAAGGAGTACTTGTGGCACCTTAGAGACTAACCAATTTATTTGAGCATAAGCTTTCGATAAGCATCCGATGAAGTGAGCTGTAGCTCACGAAAGCTTATGCTCAAATAAATTGGTTAGTCTCTAAGGTGCCACAAGTACTCCTTTTCTTTTTATAGTTACAACAGAAAGTGAAAATTAGATTCAGATTCTCCTCTTCCTTTGCACCTCTAAAGTGTTAAACAAGACAAGCTTATGGACACTTATGTTTTTGAATTCTTGATCACTGGTGCCATTCACAGCACCAGCCATGGTGAGTATGAGCACCATGAATGAGGGAAATAAGAGAATTGCTTGGTTGCATGAAACCAAAAATACAGGGAAATGGTATGGATACTGGCACCATTTTCCACAAGCAGTGGAGATTTCCACTGATATCTCACTCCTGAAGGTAACAAAGGCAGACAGAGAGCCCAGTTACTCCTGGCATTCCAAAGCGACCCAGGCCCGTACTAGTAGGTGTACTGCAATAGTGCCTGCCAAAGTTATCGCTGAGTGGTGTGGAGAAAGTTTCCTACCTCAGAGGAAGAAATAAGGCTGCCATCCCTAAAAACCTTTGGGAGAAGATTGCAGAGTACCTCAGTGAAAGTTTCATCCAGATCTCTCAGAAGGATTCAAGGGACGTCCCAGTGTACATAAACTGCCTCACATGGTCCCCCTTGCCTAACTCTACAGAGCAATGAAAGGCAGATCACAACACTCTCTCTCTTTGTTGTACCACTACCTCTTCTAGTTTGGATAAACTAATGCATAGTTGATAGCTGCATCCTGTTAAGTTGAGGGTGCCATCACTGTAATGAGAAATAAACTGACACACTTACCTGAGGTTCCTTCCCCTGCACTGGGCTCGTCTGTGTTTGGCTGCCAGGACTGAGTGGACTGCAGTGGAGTCTCAAACAGGTCCTGGTTCATGGCACAGTTGGACTCCCCAGTTGCAGGTTCCTCCATCCTCCTCTTCTCCCTTCTCCTCGCTGTTCAGGCCCACGTCTTCTGGGTCAGGCTCCTTGGAGGTATCGATGTTAGCGTGTGGAGTAGTGGTGCCTTTGCCAAGTATCGCATGTAACTCTTTGTATAAGTAGCAGGTCTGCAGCTTCACTCTGTATTGACTGTTGGCCACCCTGGCCTTCTGATACACCTGCCACAGCTCCTTCACTTTCACATGGCACTGCTGCTGGTCCCCATCTTCTACATCATCCCCTGAACAATCCCCTCATCGATGTTAACATTTCTACAGCTAGGCCATAGCTGTGCTTGTACAGCCTCTTCTCCCCGTAGGCCCAGGACATCCAATATCTCCTGTCTACGCCAAGCCAGAGCAAATCTGGGGTGTGCAGCCAACATGGTCAGCTGGGCAGCTGCACACAACAACAATGGAGAGGTGTGCTCGTCAAGCCAGACAATCAGGAAAACACAAATTCGTGGGACCTTCTGCTCTATGTGACACCTGGGCAGTGAAGTAATGTCAGACATTGTGGGATAGCTGCTAAAGGACTATTAGGGTCGACATCAGTCATGAAGCATCTATACTTGTGCTATATTGACCTTGGCTCGATACCCCTCAGGAAGGCAGTGTTACTTCGTCAGCATAACAGGGTGCTTACGTCAGTGGGAGAGAAATTTAAGTGTAGACACATGCATAATTAAGTCGACGCAAGGCAGTTTATGTCGACCTAACTTTGTAGCGTAGGCCAGGCCTCCAGATCAAAATTGGCTACAGTTCTTCCACTAACACACCACTTCTAACCATGAATAAAAAACTATATGCAGTAAACACTAATTTTCACACGTGGAAATATCAACAAGGCAACAAAGGCCACTAGATTTCTAGCCTGTTGGTTTCCTGCTTGCTAACTTCAGCAGTTTCAAGGAACTCTACACAAGAAGGTTATACTGGATTAAAACAATACCTTTGGTTAAACCAATATAGATATATCGTCCCCGTATGGATACTCTCCCTCTGTGAATTCTTCCTTCGGCTTAAGTGTGGCTTATTTCAGTTTAGCTTAAATTGATTCCTAACAGACAAACTAAACCAGGCGTTCTCAAACTGGGGGTCGGGACCCCTCACAGGGTCACGAGGTTATTACATGGGGGGGGTCGTGAGCTGTTCTCCACCCCAAACCCCGCTTTGCCTCCAGTATTTATAATGGTGTTAAATATATTAAAAAGTGTTTTTAATTTATAAGGGGAGGGTCGCACTCAAAGGCTAACTATGTGAAAGAGGTCACCAGTACAAAAGTTTGAGAACCACTGAACTAAACCAAAAGAATAGTATCCACAAAGCCTTTTGCACTTGCTTAACTAAATCAACCTAAAAATTACATCTTTAGTTAAGCCAGTGCAACTCTGTTTAGCAGTCGTAGCCACTCAGGTTGGAAGAGATGGTGAAGGGACACATTGCTTAAACAGACCCTACTACTCAACAGTTCCAAGTTCACAAAATCAGAGCTCTCAGGACACTTACAACAGAGATTCATGAAACCTATGTTTGCAGAGAAACTTCAAGTTAATGTCTTTTCTCTGTGAAAACACTTCTTGGCCCCATACAACCGCTTGGGAGCCTAAATCACCGTATATGTAGTGTCCTAGACCAGATTACATAAAAAAACCTTTTTAATATGCTATATTTTGACAGAGGCTATTCCAGTGGTTCTCAACCTGCAGCCCAATTAGCTGTGCTAAAGGCCGCTGGGTCACGCGGCAGGGTCCAGGTTCCCGGCTGCCTGGTGCGGTGGGATCCAGGCTTGGGGCTTGGGCTGGGGCTGCTACCTGGCCCCACACTGCGGGGGTCTGGGGCTGCCACCTGGTCCTGCAGGGTCCGTGATCTGGGGCTGCCAGCCAGCCCCGCGAGGTTGGTGTCTGGGCTGCCACCCAGCTGCCCAGGCTGCCACCCAGCTGCCCTGCCACCTGGCTCCCCGCAGTGGGATCCAGCAGGTAGGGGCTGCTGCCCAGCCCCACACAGCAAGGTCCAGGGTCCCTGCCACCCACCCCAGGCTCCGTTCCTGGCCCCACTCTGTAGAGGGTTCTGTGGGGTAGAGGCACTGGCCATAGGGGTCTGTGGGGAGTGTTTGGGGTGGTGGAGGTTGGGACGCTGTGGTTCTCAACCTTCGGCCCAGGTTGTGGCCCACAATGATAAACAGGTTGAGAACCACTGGGTATATTCTCTGAGGTGTACATTGATTTTAGTTATGATGTAATTCTGCCACATAGTTTCTATCCCAGGTGAGGCACGGGTGCAGTGCCCTAGCTGTTAACCAATAAACATGCAGTGTTCCCTCACTCGCCTGGTAGTTACTGGAGCGATATGCCATTTCAATGAAGTCCTGCTAACAGGGTGCCTACACCTTAGCAGGGAGCTACCTAAACAGCCAGTTGGGTAGGAATGCTTCTCTGTAGAGATGTTTGGCATAGATTCATGTGTGCGTCATGTTCCTGTCCAGATGTAAGACAGTTCCATACGGAATCAGAGGTGCACGTGATATTTATCACTTACACAGAGCATCAAGGTACTTAAGCTTCAAAATCCCTCAAAGTGTACATGTATTTATCCTTGTTTGACAGCTGGGAAAACTGCAGCACAGTGGGTAAGGGACCTGCTCAAGGTTGCACAACACAGGGACAGGACAGAGAATGGAACACGAGTCCTGAGTTTTACATCCTCTGCTCAGTCAAACAAGCAATGTTGTCTTATCTTTGTATGTACACATTGGCTTTCCAATTTCGGAATGGTGTTCCCAGGTCCACAGCCTCTTACACCACAGAGTGAGGACACCCAACACTAATTTTCATTACCTTCATAGAATCATAGAATATCAGGGTTGGAAGGGACCTCAGGAGGTCATCTAGTCCAAGCTCAAAGCAGGACCAATCCCCAATTTTTGCCCCAGATCCCTAAATGGCCCCCTCAAGGATTGAACTCACAACCCTGGGTTTAGCAGGCCAATGCTCAAACCACTGAGCTATCCCTCCCCCCTTGATCTCATTCCTTTCAGTTACACCCCCATTTATCATAGAAAAAAAATGTCTTTGCTTACTAGAGGTTTAGGCCCTTCAGCTATTTGTAAGCTTATTATACCAAACTCTTATCACATCTTTGACAAGCCAGGTAAACCAAACTCTTTGAACCAGAGTGGGACTCTTCTAGCACCTCAGAGCATCACTTGGAGCACCCTCCAGTTTGTCACTATCTTTCCAGGACAGAGGGTCCAGGTCAAAGCAATGTCTCTGGTGGGATTGTCTGAGAACCACACGAGGAAGGACTCTTTCTTGTTGCTCTATCCCAGCATAAAACACCAGTGGGATTCGCTACCACCTCAGCCCCCTTGGATGTCCATGTTTCCTTGGGGGCTTCTCTCTGACACTAAACATGCACGTGGCATTTCTGCCCAGCCTATGATGTGTCTGCTTAGCCACCCTAGAGGATGTGCCCATGCCCTTAACTGTCTGTGCATCCAGGAGTCTACACTGTCCCCAGTGCAGAAGGGCAGAGGCCACGCACACGCGGCCACACGAGACACGCTAGGGTCTGGCCGGCAGCTCAGGCTGGGGTCCCACGCTGGAGCCGGGGCGCACACAGGGGATGCGCAGCGCAGCCGCCTCCACGCCCACGCGCCGGGCGCGAGGGAGACCTTTCACCCCCCTCAGTCGGTTACCGGCTGCCCTGCGCCCGACCCCCGCCCGACCCCCGCCCTTACCCAGGAAGATGGAGACGATGAGGCGCAGCGCTTGCTCGGAGGAGCCCAGCGCCTCCGCTGCCTGGGCCAGGCCCAGACCGGACCCCGCCACCGCCATGTTCTCCCCAGGCCGCCCGGCCTGACCCACTGCCGCTCCCCGAACCCAGCAGCTGCAGCAGCCGCCGGCGCGGCCCCCTCACCTAGGACACACCCACTCGATAGCCATTGGCTGCGCCGATCCCGCTACGCTCTCCACACCGCCTCCAATTGGCCAGTGTGCAGCAGCGGGGCAGGACGGAGAGCTAACTGAGGCAAAGGTTACCCTACCTGAGGGAGGAGCGACGAATGTCCTTGTCAACCAACGATTGGACGAGCCTCTTCCGGGAGTCAGATTCTGATTGGGCAAGATGGGGCGGGGCCCTGAGCATGGGTTGGGATCCGGCTCCCCATTGGTCATGGCGGGGACAGGAGAGAGCCAGTCGAGGGTGTGGGGCTGAGGTTACTATCGGGCACTAGAGGGACGGTGGAAGAGGGTTATAACGGCCGCACCTCCAAACTTAAAATGACGTTAGCGTGGGCGTGGTCGAATCTTTTGCATATTTATCATATGCTAATAAGCCTAGCGCACAGTCCGCCTCATTTAGCCTTTCACCTGCATTTTTGGAACGTGTTCTATTGTCACCACGCCACGAGTAATGAGTTATATGCAAATTAATTTAAATATGCAATGTTCGGCTCTTCTGTTTTTATACCCTCAATTAATAATTCATCTTATGCTAATATTATCTTTGAATATGCAAATATTATGTTCAGAGATGACTTGCCTCTGCTGTGCTCTGAACTGCATCGCTGCAGTTATGTGTTCCTCTTATGCAGATATAAGGCGACTGTTGTGGGGATGTTAAAGGGTCGATGGGAAATCAGGACCCTGAGACTGACAGGCCCCGGAACAATGGGGACAGGCCAGTGCTCCAGGTCAGCCCGATTGCCAGGGCTCACAGGCTAATCAGGGAGTCGGGGGGGGGGGGGGCAGAGGGTTCTCTCCTCTATGTGAGCTGGAATTGCGTGAGTCAGACAGAGTAGGGCTGAGCTAAGGAGAGAGCAGGAGCTCAAGCTGAGCTGGGGAGCACAGCTGTGTCAGATTCGGAGGGGTCAGAAAAGCAGCCCAGGAAACAGGTCAGTGCTGGGAGCAGAGTTATAGAAGCATCCCAGAGAGCAGACCTGTCCTGGGAGAAGAGCTGCAGCAACCAGCGCCAGAGGGGCCAGAGAAGCAGCCCAGGGAGCTGGAGGCAGAGTGGAGCTGAGACAGAGAGCTGGAGCTGGGAGGGGGGCTGGAGCAGTCCGGAGCCAGCTGCAGTGAGCAGCTGGGGGGAGCGAGGGGGACACAGGGCAGCGGGCCCAGTGCAGGGAGTTGCCCCCAGCCAAGACGCCATGCAGGCCAGACTTGGAGGGGGATCGTAACTTCGACGGGGCAGGATGACGCTGGGAAGAAAGGTCCTGCCACTTCCAGCCTGAGAGCATGTGGCCACTGCCAGAGCAAGTGTCCGACCAGCAGCATCCCTGCAGCACAGCCAGGGCCTGAGAAGGAGGCCTGGGATTTGTGAGGAACAGACTGTGAACTTCCCTTACATTCCAGAGACACTGGTTGTGATGTCCCCGTGTCACAGAGCAGGGTTGTGTGTTTTCCTTTATACTTTCCCATTTTTCCCTTATTTTTTTAAATTTGATTGCTGTTTAATAAATTGTATTTGCTTTGAACTGTATGTAATGATCAGTGGGTCAGGGAAGTGTCCAGTGCAGAGAGAGCACCGTGGAGTGGGGACATCTTGGCCCCTAAGTGACTACAACAAGGTTGGGGGTCGAGCCACCAAAGGAATCCTGGGCCCAGCCTTGTTGGGGTTACGAGGACTCTGCTACACAGGGTAAAGGAAGTGGGAGCAAGGACTTAGATCCTTTTGCTAGCCATGTCTCCAAGGATCTGAAAAAATCAGATGACTTTCAAACTCGAGTGACAGGTTTCAGAGTAACAGCCGTGTTAGTCTGTATTCGCAAAAAGAAAAGGAGTACTTGTGGCACCTTAGAGACTAACCAATTTATTTGACCATAAACTTTCGTGAGCTACAGCTCACTTCTCACGAAAGCTTATGCTCAAATAAATTGGTTAGTCTCTAAGGTGCCACAAGTACTCCTTTTCTTTAAATTCGAGTGAGTTAACCTGCACTTCTCCGGGGTAGTGTATAAGCCAGGAAAGTTCCCCACAATAGGTGGACCATTCCTCCGCTTACACATAATTAACTGTATGAAAGAGACCTTGCATGTAATTAATATCATGTAAATATTCTCATGCATAATTCATTTTATGCAAATTATATGTCTGCACATTTGTAACATGATTTCCTCATGCATAGCTAAACGTGCATTTTTTCCCATGTATGTAACTCGTATGGTGCACCTTCATCCATCATCATCATTGTTCATATATATTTTCTGTGTGCGGTGGCTCCCAGAGTAGATAGGAAAGAGACAATCCCTGCCCCCAAGGGATGGCAGACAAAATTAGACATACAGTGGTAATGAGGTTTTGTGGGAAAAGAGAGGGGCCGCAGCACTGTAACTACACAATTCCCTACGTGGGATGGGTCCATCCGGGGGAGGGTGTGAGTCTCCCAGGGCTGTGATGCTTCCTGCGGATTCCCAGGGGTGTGAGGCACCTTGCTACCACCTGCTTTTAGCCTGAGGAAGCCTAATCCATGTCTGCTAGGGGTCATCTCTCTGCCTCCACCAACCATGGGCAACACAAGCACTCCTCCCTTAGCCTGCACAGGCTCTGCTGTCCTTCTGCAGGTAACCAATTGGCATGCTCCAACTCTTGAGCCCTCTGAGTGTCCCCCTGGAGTGCCCAGCCCTTGATCCACTGGACACTCACAGAATTCACAGATCCGCTACTCCCAAAGGAACTGTACACCCCAGCTTACCAGATTCACCTCAGGATCACTGGTCTGCTCAACTCACAGCACTTAATTTGTTTATAATGAAAACAAGAATAATTTATTTAATGAAGAACAGAGATTGAAATAACAGCAAATAGGTAGAAATACCAGAAACAATTGGGTACATCCAAAACAAAATCATAATACACCTTCTAGAGTCTAGACTTAACTAACAAGAAACTTTCCTGGTCTAATGAAGTTTAGAGTTCACCCAAAGACTTTCTCCCAGTGTTTAACAGCCAGATCAGCTGTGATCCTCCATTCACAAGACAAGCACACAGGCAGCTTGTCTCCTAGGTGAAGGCTACCAGGTACACCCCTATACACCCAGCTATATTTCAACAATCCATTGTCTGTACTCTTAAACAGGATTCCTTCCCCCCAAACTGGTGTTTTTTTCCTGTAGGCTTCTTTCTTGTAGATTTTGCAAATTTTATTTAGCTGATGGCTCTGTATGTAAATAGACTCACATTGTAAGACACAATACAAAATGGTCCACCAGGGAGATCAGGGTCACAGCAAACTTCTTGGAGCCGAGTTTCCTGTTCAAATATTTTTTCTTTTGTTATGTTGTCTCTCAGTCAGCCGGTTTGTGCCGTGTCAAAGCTGGGGTGAGTCTGGAGAAGGAAGGAGCAATGACCTTGTAGGTCAGTTTACAGAGGATGTTCCACATACCTGGGGCAGCACGGCAGAAGGAAGGGACGTTCTGCAGGAAGTGGATAAACAGGCAGACAATGGCATCACTGGGGAGTGGAGGGCAAGGGGCCATGCAATAAGAGACAATAGTGAGTAAATTGGGAGGGACAAAGGTGTGCGGGCCCTTGAAGGCAAGGACAAGAATCTTGGTCTTGAAACAGTGTAAGAGGCAAGGTAATGTGGTCAGCATGATGAGTCAGGGAGATGATTGTAGTATCTGCGTTCTGTGTGGACTAAAGGATAGTGATCTGTGTTTCAGGGAATCTAGCAGGAGAAGGTTGCAATAAGTGAGACAGGATATGATGAGGCCCAGAAGAGTTTTCCATATATGAGAAGGCAAATAGACTTTTGCAAATTTGTGATTCTTTTTTTTCCCCCTCACCAATTTGCAGATGTAGTGGTTTTAAAACACCTCATGCGTAGCTGGGTCTATGTAGACTTAACTCACAAATAGCCAAGTTTGTTGAAAAGTTATTGTATACAAATTTATGTCATCCCTCATGTTTAATTATTATTATGTTGATTTTTCAGATGTGTGGTGTTTGTATCTCTCTTTAAAAAACACCCCAGTGCTTAAAATCTCTCATGGGCAATTATCCATATGTAGATTTATCTCATAAATAACAAAGATGATGGAAACTGATGTGCACATCAGTATTACAGTGGTGTAGGAGCACCCCTATAGGTAAGGTTGTGCCATGACATTTGTTTAAAGGTGGACCTTTTTAAGTCCTCTAAAATTGACATGTTCAGTTCATTCTCTTTTAAATTTGGTGTGCCTCGGGAGGGTAAAGAGTAGGATTAGTAATCCAAATGTGGAGTCATTTTGGCCAGGGGTTCCAGAGATAGAAGGGCACGGAAAGAGAGCCATTAAAAAAAAAAGTTCTAGGTTTTTTGGGCTTTTTTTTTTTTTTGGCAGAATTGGAGATCAAGTTATTGACGTGATGCACAATGGTCTTAATCTGTTGAGCTTTATCACAGGTCGTTCATGGCATCTGCTTAATCTTTGAGGGACCCTGTGACTGGGATCCAGTGGGGGCCAGCTGAGGTCACTCAATTAGGGTGAACTGCAAACAGACAATCCCCAAAACTGGTGGATATTCCAATACTTAGATTTACCCAGGCAGCACAAATCAGCTTCTTTATTACCTTACTGTTGCCCAGAAGCCAACAACACAGTTCCCTTAAAGTAACCCAGTCTCAGGCCTCCATCCAGGTACCTATGTCAAATATGATGATTTCTGAAAATCTTATTTCATCTTATAAAAGAAAAGGTTCTCCCAATC